AATTGACCATAAGCACATGGGTTTATTTCTGGGTTTTCTATGCTGTTCCAGTGACCTATGTGTTTTGTCTGTTTTTCTGATAGTACCATACTATTTTGGTTACTGTAGCTTTGTAATGTGGGGCTTCCCTGGTGGCTCAGAGGTTCAAGTGTCTGCCTGGAATGTGGGAGACCCAGGTTCGATCCCTGGGTTGGGAAGATCTCCTGGAGAAGGAAATGGCAACCCACTCCAGTACTCTTGCCTGGAGCATCCCATGGAGGGAGGAGCCTGGTGGGCTACAGTCCAGGGGTCACCAAGACAGCCTGGAGTCAGGAAGTGTTCTTCCTGCACTGTTCTTTCTCAGATTGTTTGGACTATTCAGGTTCTCAATGATCTGTTCTAGCCAGGGCAGGAGACCCCTTATAGAAAAAGGATAGCCAAAGTGGGCCTCCTTGCCCTGTTTCCCTGATCTTAGAGGAATAGCTTTCAGTTTTTCTTCACTGAGTATTTGTTAATTGTGGGTTTGTTATCTATTGCCTTTATTATGTTGAGGTATGTACCTCTATACCCAGTCTGCCTAGGGAGTTTTAATCATTAAAGGATGTTATATTTTATCAAATGCTTTTCTGCATCTACTGAAATAATAATGTAGTTTTTATCTTTTATTAATGTCATGTATTACATTTATTGATTTACATGTTGAACCATCTTTGCATACAAGGAATAAATCCCATTTGATCATGACGTGTAACCCCTTTGTCTTCTTGAATTGTTTGCTAAGATTTTGTTGAATGTTTTTGTAGCTAAACTCCTTAGAGATATTGCTCTATTGTTTTCTTTAAGTGTTCTTATCTAGCTTTAGAATCAGGGTAATAGAGGCCTCAAAAAATGAATTTGGGAAATATTTCCTCCTCTTCACTTTTTGAAAGACTTTAAGAAGGGCTGATATTAATTTTTTTTTGAATGTTTGGTAGAATTTGCTAATGAAGCCATCCAGTCCTGGGGTTGTGATGGGAGGTTTTTGATTATTGATTTAACCTCTTTGCTTGTTACTGGCCTGTTCACATTTTCTACTTTGTCCTGATGCAGTCTTGGTAGTTTGTGTTTATAGAAGTTTATCCATTTCTTCTAGGCTATCTTGTGGGCATATAATTGTTCATAATAGTCTCATATGGTCTTTAATATTTCTGTAGTGTCTTCTTTTTCTAGTCTGGTTAAAGGTTTTGTTGGTTTTGTTTATCTTTCGAGGAGTCAGCTCTAATTTTGTTAATTCTATTTTTTCCCCCTCTGGTCTCTATTTCATGTATTTCCACTTTGACCTTATTTCCTTCCTTCCTCCTGCTAACTTTTTCTAGACCCTTGAGGTGTAAAGTTAGGGTGTTTTTTTTTTTTTTGAGATTTAATTAATATATGAAATTATTTGCTATAGTCTGTCCTCTTAGAACTGCTTTTCCTGCATCCCATAAGATTTGATAGGTTCTATTTCCATTTTCATTTGTTGTGAGATAATTTTTTTCCCCTCTGACTCATTGGTTGTTTAGTAGGAGTGTCTTGTTTATTTTCCATGTATGTGTAGATTTTCCAGCTTTCCTCTTACTGCTGATTTCTAGTTTCACACCATTGCTATCCAAAAGACAGTTGTCATGATTTCAGTATTTATTGAGATGTGTTTTTGCTTTCATTTCTTTTCATATCATATGATCTATCCTAGATAATGTTCTGTGTGCACTTGAGATGTACATTTTGCTGCTCTTGTTTCAAATGATGTATGTGTCTATTAAGGTCATTTGTTATAGGTATGGTTAAATTTCAGTATTTGTTATTGATTTTTTGTGGATTATCAGTGGTCACTAATCAGTGGGATATTGAAAGCTTCTAGTACTACTGCATTATCTATCTCTCCCTTTTGATCTGTTAGAATTTGCTTAACATATTTCATTGTGCCAATGTGGGGTTTATATTTATGACTGCTGTATTTTCTGGATGTTTTGACCTTTTTATCATTATACAGCGACCATTTGTCTTTTATCATTTTTGGCATCAAGTATATTTTGTCTGGCTATACCTGCTTTCTTTTGGTTTCCAATTGCATGGAATATCCTCTTATACTCAAATCTTTACCCTGAGCCTATGTGTAACTTTAGAACTGAAAAAGTTAGGTCTTTTTAATCCATCCAGCCACTTTTTACCTTTGACTAGAGAACTGAATTATTCTATTTAGAGTGATTATTGCTAGGTAAGTACTTCTTACTGCCATCTTCTTTTCACTCTGTCTACCTTTGTAAGATGATGATTTTCCATGGTGATTTGATCAGTCTACCCCGTTTTTCATGTTTTGTGACTACTATAAATTTTTTCTATATAGTTTTGCAAGTATGAACATCTCATAGATAAAATAACCTACAGGAAAAACAGACTTTTAAAAAAAGTAGTTCAAACAAACACTTTGTGAATTGAACATGTGGTTATACACATTCACTATCTAATGTCCTTAGTTTATTACATTGCATGAAAATAAGCATTGTTCTGTTGGAATAATCAATTGTTGATTAAAGATGATAGAAACAAAATAACTTACCACTTAAGTAAACAGTAAGTTGCAAAGGTTACTATTTTCCTCTAAACTCATAGTACTAACCACATGTGATGTTTCAGTAATACATGTCTTCTACATAGTGATTTACTCACCTGTGACAGTAGAAAAGTGATTTGTGGGTCATAACCAAATATTGTCTGTACAATACAGTGCTTTAAGTAAAAAATTAAAATACAATTACTCCTGTGGCCTAATATGAGTTTTGAGCTAAGGTAACATAGAAAATTAAATCCTTAGATTTGCTAAAACAATTTTTACAAAGGTCTAATATGTTTTATAAATTTATATTTCATAAGTACTACCTTTCATTGCCCTTTAAAGCTTCTGATTGTAGTCAGTGTGCCTGCCTGCCTATGAGGGCTCATCTAATTTTGATTCTCTTTTTGGCAAAATAATTGAACAATCAAGCTTTAGGAAGCTTTCATCTTAGTCACCCACAATTCTGAGTCATTAGGTTCTTCATGAAAGTTCGTACAAGCTGGTATGATTCTGTTCAACAGGACTGAGTATGAAAATTTGTGGCAACTACAGTGGACCTGTGGACAACACAGGTTTCAACTGCATAGCTCTGTTTACCTGATTTTTTTCACTAAATACATACGACAGCACTTCATGAATGTATGAAGTTGGTTGAATGCATGCATGCAGAAGCAAGGATGTGGAGTGACCAACTGGCAGGTGACACATGGGTTTCCAGGCACACAGAGTCAGCACCCCTAACCCTCATGTTCTTCAAGGGTCAACTACTTTCACCTATCAGACATATTATTCAGTAGGGCTGAAGCTATCAAAAGCACAGCTATTACACTTTTCTTTACCATTTGTACTCCATAATGGTTTCACAGGAGAAGGTAAGGGAGTGGGAGGAAGGCAGGGAGGGTATAAATTTAGCCACAAACTCTCCATTCACAGAAGGATTTTTAAAGCTTAAAAATGTATATATTTATATATGTGTATATACATATGTATATCAGTATTACATGCATATTTATATAATTTTATTTTTAAATGTTAAGATACAGAGAAAGCAAGCTAGAAGACAATACAGTCACTTTGCTTTTAGGAAAAAATGATGTATTCTGCTAAATTTTAAGATATTTATTAGATCTGGTAATGCAGAGAGAAAGGTAAAATTCCAATGTTTTCTTCAATAACTGACATTTTTCTAAATTAAAAATTATGAGAATAGACGGAAAACTAAGCTATTCCAATTTCCTTGCCAGAGTTTTTTTCTTGGTAATAACATTTATTAAGGTATCATTGTTATACATTTTAAGTGTACAATTTGATGAGGTTTGACAAATGTGTATACCTGTGTAAACATCATCCAGATCATGATAGAGAAAAGTCCCATAACGCCAGAAACTTCCCTCTGTGCTGCAAACCCCCCTGACCCTTACTTGACCCATGCAATCACTGATCTAATTTCTAATACCATAGATTAGTTTTGCTTCTTTGTGTATTAAGTAGAATCTCATACTAAGCATTCTTTTGCAATTGGCTTCTTGCCCTCGACAATGTCTGCCAATAATGTTACATGGACTGGCAATCCTTCCATTTTATTGCTGAGTCATAATACATTCAACAGTTTATACATTCATCTATTGATGGACATTTACATTCAGTTCAGTTCAGTTGCTCAGTCATGCCCGACTCTGCAGCCCCATGGACTGCAGCATGCCAGGCCTCCCTGTCCCTCACCAGCTCCGAGGTTACTCAAACTCACGTCCATTGAGTTGGTGATGCCATCCAGCCATATCATCCTCTGTCATCCCCTTCTCCTGCCTTCAATCTTTCCTTACAATTATTTGCACATTAAGTTGTAATGAACATGCCAAGAGTCTTGGTGATCATGTTTTTACTTTTCCTTAGTAAATACCTAGAAGTAGAATTTGAGCTATAAGTATATATTTAACTTTATAAAAAAGTTTTATAAAAACAGTTCAGACTGTTTTCTGAAGTGGTTGTACTGTTTTACATTCTAGACAACAATGTTTGAAGAGTTTAAGTTCCTTGCCATATTTTATTTTGGGGAATTTTCATTTACTTTATCTCTTTCTCTCTTTATTCTCTTTCTCTCCATATGCATGCATATCTGTGCTCAGTCATGTCCTTGGACTGTAGCCAGCCAGGCTTCCCTGTCCGTGGTACTTTCCAGGCAGGAACACTGGAGTGGGTTGCCATTTCTTACTCCATTCTACTACAAATGACGAAGTTCTTTGGTTTGTTTTATTGGATTAGCACTTTGACGATGAAGTTTTAAATTTTCAGAGCCAAAAATCTCTTTACAGATGAACAAGCTGGAAGTCTAAAGTCAAAACATGACATGAAAAGCAAAATTTTTCCATACTCTGGTTTCACGTGTTATCAGAAAGATGGACTTTATCCTCAGACTTTTAATGGCAGCCAGTTACCTGAGACTTTACTATAAGGATTCTTTCAGAGTCCCTGCCGCTGCTTGAATTGTAAAGGCTGCAATAGAAATGTGTTTCTTCACTTCTTTCCAGGCTGAACGAGGATCTGCTTTATTTTCAATATCAAACATAGCATCAAAGATGCCAGGAAATGATTCACCAGCATATTTGTTGTGGCTGCTTGGAGCAAAGATGATGTGCCTAGCAGAAAAAACACAGAGAACAGGCTGAGCTAAAGAGTACTCATACATTACATTTCACATGCTCTTCCTTTCTCTTTTGTGGTGTCTTTGTTAGATCGCATTCATGATGAAATATTGTGTCTCCTCCTGATATCCACTTTTGTTATTCCAAAGTAAAACCTTATGTTGTTGGTTTGAGACACTTAGGCAATGGTATAATTTTAAGCAAAGAAAGGAGTTGATAAGATGCGTCTAGCGAATCATATCATGTTATCAACCCAAGCAGCTGGAAATAAGCAGATATTTTCCTGTAAGTTACAGGCATTAGTTATCTAACTGCCTAGACATCCACAGACATCCATAAAGCATGGATAATTTATGGATAGTTTTTAATAAGAGATTAAAAAATAATTACATTTGTGTTGCCTTTTTTAAGATTCCACAAGAATGAGTTATTCCCAATACTCTTCAGAATTAAAAAGCGACAAGCAAAGTAGCTTGTATTTCAAAAATATCATAATTAGTAAGGATAACAAAGCCCATTCCACAAAGGTAAAGCAGCTCTATGTGGCTTGCCCACAAAGACACACTTATTCCGTTCTAGAAGGAAAGTCTGCACCTGATTTCCTACTTCATCTCATAAGTAGTTCAGGAGATCAAGCCACTTCTCTCCCCACTGTGTGGAATTCTACCTTGCAGAAAGGGACATATTGGGTTAATCACTCGAATCAGGAATTAGGCTTGGACTTCCCCAGTGGTCCGGTAATTAAGGAAATCCACCTGTCAATGCTGGGGACGTGGGTTCAAGCCCTGATCCAGGAAGACTCCACACGCTGCGGGACAACCACGCCCGTGTGCCACAACTGCTGAGCCCACACTCACCCCTGAGCTTGCACAGCCCAGAGGCCACACTCCACAAGATAGAGGCCACTGCAGTGAGAAGGCCAGGCACCGCGACCAGAGACTGGGCCCCCTCGCCACAACCAGAGAAACACTGCTCGCAGCAGTGACTGCCCAGTGCAGACAAAGTAAATTAAAGGCAGCTGCGGGTGGCCGGGGGCAGTGCTTCAGATCCCTTCTTCAAAAAAAAAAAACCAAGGAATTAGGCCTAACAGTCAAACCCTAGAGCTGCTTCAGAATGTAAAGCTAAAACCGATGACAAAATATAGAACTCTCTGTAAGTATTAATGATTGAAGACATTTAAAATGTCATCATTTAGATTTCCCAGAGTATATCAGAATTTATTACTTTGGCTTTTGAATTTTAGTATGGCCTTAAGTGGATCATCCTTAATGAAACAAGTATACATGCTGAACTGTTTATAAACATTAATAGTCTGACCTATATATAAGCTGAGATACTAGAGATACAGGTCACAGGTATTCCTTAGTACATATGCCATCTTTTGGAGAACTGTAGAGAGAGAGTATTGTACAATATTATTGATTCAGGAATCAAGAAAACCTGACAAAATTGTAAACGAGGTGTTTCCTTAATTTTTCTTTTGATCATCACTGTATAGAAACACCAAAGTTTCCTGTACATGGATTTTGTGTCCTATAACTTTACAGATTTCATTTATTCTAATATTGGGTTGGCCAAAAGGTACATTTGAGTTTTTCCATAGACTTTTCAGAAAGACCTGAATGAACTTTTGGGCCAACCCAACAGTTTATTTGTGGAATCATTAGGATTTTCTTCTGTAATAATGACAGTTACTTCTTCCTGATTTGGATGTCTTTGTTTATTTTTCCAAACAGCTACGGCCAGGACTTCCAATACCACGTTGAATAAAAATGGTGAGAGTGGGCATACTTGCCTTGTTCCTGATCTTAAAGGAAATGCTTTGGGGTTCTCACCATTGAGCATAAAGGCAGCTGTGGTTCTGTCATATACAGGCTTTGTTATATTGACATACACTGCCTCTGTATCCAGTTTGTTGAGACTTTTTTTTTTAAATCAGCCTTGCCATGGCACACAAAATCTAAGTTCCCTGATGAGAGATAGAACACATGCCTCGTGTAGAGGGAACACGAAGTTTTAACCACTGGCCCACCAGGGGAGTTCCACTGTTCCTGTTAACACCTTTTCTGACATTTTAATTACAGTTTGTCTTAGGATGGGTATCTTCTGAGCTCATCTTATTCGCACTCTCTGGGTTTCCTGATCTGGATGTCTGTCTCCTTCCCCAGGTTAGGGACGTCTTCAGCCCCTTCTCTCCTTCCTTCTGGAACCTCTATAAGACACACATTGTTTCACCTGATGTTGTCCCAAAGGTCCCTTCAACTGTCATCACTTCTAGAAAACCCTTCGTACTTTTTGTTGCTCCGTGAGTTCCACTGCCTGTGTTCCAAGCCACTGATTCTTCTGCTTTGTCCAGTCTGCTAGTGAACCCGCCAGTGCATTTCTCAGTTCCATTAACGTACTTTTCTTTCAACTCCATGCCTTCTATTTGGTGTATGTGTGCCAACTCACTTCAGTCATGTCCAACTCTTCGCGACGCCGGCCTGCCAGGCCCCTCTGTCCATGGAATTCTCCAGGCAAGAATCCTGGACTGGGTTATTGTGCCCTCCTCCAGGGAATCTTCCTGACCCAGAGACTGAACCCACATCTCTTGCATCTCCTGCACTGGCAGGCAGGTTCTTTACCACTAGCGCCACCTGGAAAGCCTAAAACCCGTGCCTTGGGAAGAAGCTCTAGGACAAGCCAACAGGCCTCTTTTACAGAAAGATGGGCTGTGTTTCATCTGTGCAGTGACTGCCGGTGGTAGCCTCCCACGCACTGACTCTCAGATCGTCCTAACCCTGCGGGACCGAGGGAAGCAATCCTGTCTGGCCACCAGAGCCAGGGGATCAGGGCACCCTGCGGGCAGCAGCCACAGAAGCTGAGGCACCAGACATCTCTAATAGCTCCCCCGAGAGATGCTGGCTTCCTGGACCATGGCAGAGAGAGAGCGTAAAGACAGCACTGCCCTCCTGGGTCTCTGCCTTACAGTCAGCACTTACCTGGGTGGAATCAGAATCCTGCCCCTCAGCCTGGAGCTGTGCTTACAGGATTATGGGCCTCCCTCCCCAGAAGACAGCCCCTGGGTCTGTTGCCTCTCTTTTCCTATCTACCCCCTTAAGAGCTGCAAGCATACTTTCCTCTGGTCACACAGAGTCAGAAAATGTAGAGATGTCCCCAGTAGCAGCTTCAAAAATTGGAGGGCCAGAAAAGGTTATAAGCACCCTTCTGAGAGAGGGTCAAGCTGGAGTGAGGCAGAGGAGGAGCAGAGAGCGCTTCCGTCAGCCTTCACTACCCGAGGGCAGCCCTGCAGACTTCTAGAAGCATGCCGGAGTGAAACCCTGCCGCCGTTCAGGCCAAAGCTCTTGGCCAGACAAAGGAGCCTCTCCCTCAGAAAGACCCGGGGTGTGTTTCAGTCTGCTGTCTGCACAGTGCCTTGGGGGTGGTGGTCTGGCAAGAACTGTCTCTCCAATTGTTACAGCCCCATGGGATTCAGGGATGCAAGCCGCCCTCACCCTCCCAACCTGGAGCCAAGCAATCAAGGAGTGTCTGCTGGCAACAGCTGGAAAAACCAGGACACCAGATGCAGAAGCCAGCATACTACATGCAGATAAAAGCTTCCCTCTGGAGATACTGGTGCTGTGGAGCTCAGCAGAGGGACTGCATGAAGACCATCGCCTTCAGGGAAGAAGAGGGGAAAGATGGTGCCCACCAGCCTCAGCAAGGCAGAGGAAGAGCAGAGTACCCACCAGCCTCCACCCCAGAGAGGGTCCTAACCGGTCCCCGCCCCTCAAGCCGGTGCTTTAAGATCAACAAATGAACCTCCTTCACATAAAATCTGGGGAATACTCAACGGCTGCTTCTGTGCTGGGGCTGGTGGCAGGTAACTCTAGTGGAGTCCTTTCGACCTGAGCCATTTCTAGCTTCTGTGTATCCCTTTGGTTTCATGGAAGCAGTCTTGTTGGTTTTCAAAGCCAGATATCAGGGAGGCTCACCCTCAGGCGCAGGTGAGGTGGCCCATTTGGGGACAAACCCTTTGCTCCCCAGAGAGAAGCTCCGGGTCTGTGAGCTCCCTCCTGACGGTCGGCTGCCACAGCCACACCATGCAGTGGGATTTGCGGGGAGACTGGGCAGTAGCCTCCTCTTCCCCTTTCACACCCACACAGCCTTCTTCTCCTTCACCTGAGGTGAAGGAGGTGCTCAGTTAGTTTCCAGGGGTTTTGGTTTTTCTCCCCAGAGGAAACCATTCCATCTGTAGCTGTCGACTCTGTGTCTGGGAGCAGTGAGGTCTGCATCTCCTTACCCCACCGTCTTGAACTGCCTCTCCTCACTTTAGAATACAGCCTTTGTGTTCCCAATATGTTCCCAATATGTTGTTCAAATTGGAGGACAGTTTGTCAGCTACTTAATCAAATTTAAAATGTGTTTAACCTTTTGACACTGAAACCCAGGTACTGATTATAGAGATATTAAATGTTCAAGTAGGTCTTAGGGACATTTTATAGAAGTACTTTTCTCATAGTAAGTAATTGGGGGAAAAAACAAATTAATTAAAGACTCAATAAGGGCTAAAAATTTACACATGCAGGCCATATAATGGAAAACAATGAAACAGATGAGAATAGCTAAAAGATATTATACTGACACAGATACCTATAAGATTAATTGTTACCCAAAAAGACAGTTGCAAGGTGATATATGGTCCCATTTATGTAAACACAAATGAATAAATAAAAAACCAAACATGTACATAACTGCATTCAAAATTTAACACCAAACTCTCATCTCTGATTTTCTCTGAAGGAAATAACAGAAACATCTAGGTGTTAGCACTGCCCTTTTTTATTTATGTAACTCCATAGAGCCTGAGTTTGAAAATGAGATATTCTGCTTATAAATCATATAAATTGAACATATATATATAAAGATGGACTCATAGGCAAAAAAAGATTAATCTATAAACTGGCTTTCAATCTTTGGTTTATATAAAGACTTAGCTGATGGCTGCTATTTTATTGTACCAACAAACATTTATCTTCACAAGATGTTAAGATTTTATAAAAACAGCAACTATTGCGCTCACTTCCACAACACACATACTAAAAACAGCAACTATTTACTCAGTACATCCCTCTCTGAGCTAAATCTCCTGCAAGCCTTAAATCTATAAACCTATGGGGTATAAGCACAGTAATCTCCATCTACCGCTGAGGAATCTGAGTCTTGGAGAAGTAATTTGCCCAGGTGACACTTGGTATTTGGCAGAGATGGGTTCTAAATGCCTAGGATTACAATCAGTTAAATATCAACACTAATTACTAATATTTATAAGAAATGTAATATGTAGAGCTGTCTTTTGTTTGTGTCACTTTGACTACAAACAGCCTTGTAAAATAGCTTGTTATCACCCTCTTAATACAGATGAGCAAGCCCTAGATATGACTTGCTGTAAATCACACATGTGCCAAGTGAACTAGAACATAGATTTCTGACTCTAGGGCCTTTCTAATTTTTACCAAGGAACCACAGCTTAAAAGGCACTTTGAAAAACTGGAGACTATCCAAAAGCAGCCAACACTGAGAAAAAAGTACAATTCTTTACAAGAAACTATGGCACCATCTTCTGAAACCCTAAACGCTATACGGAAATAGATCGAGACTATTCTACTTGACTTGGAGAGCAGTACACGGTCAGAGGGAGAAAACTATGGGGAAATATATCTTTATGATGAAAACTTTCTATTAAGTAGATCTTTCTTATAATTGAATGAACTTCCTCATGTGGTAGCAAGTCTCCCATCATTGGAAGATTCAAACAGCGGCTGGATAACCACTTTCCTGAAATTCTAGAGAAACGATTCATGTAGAAAGTTGAACCACATTAGCTCTAAGATCCCCTTTAAGATTCTGTCTTTTAGATTTTGAGACAAAGAGTCTTTTTCAACTATCATTTACCATTTATATCTGTAGCAAAGTAATACAGGATATGAAATTAATTTTTCTGATATTACAGATTACACTGTTATGGGACTTCCCTGGTGGTGCAGTGGTTAAGAATTAGCCTTGCAGTGAAGGGGACAGCAGTTCAATCCCTGGTGGGGGAGCGAAGATCCCACGTGTTGTGGAGCAAGGAGGCCTCCGCACCCCAACTACAGTGCGCACGCACTCCTGAGCCTGTGTGGCACAACTGAAGAGCCCGCGTGCCACAGAGAGAGGGCCCACGGGGTGGGGCTGAGACCCAGCACAGCCGAATAAATGAAAATTATACTGTCATGCATGCATACTCAGTCACTTCAGATGTGTCCAACTCTCTGCGATGCTAGAGACTGTAGCCCGCCAGGCTCCTCTGTCCATGGGATTCTCCAGGCAAGAACACTGGAGTGGGCTGCCATGCCCTCCTCCAGGGGATCTTCCCGACCCAGGGATCGAATCCCCATCTCCTACGTCTACCTGCATCGGCAAGCAGGTTCTGCACCACTAGCGCCACCTGCACAATCTCACCCGTGTTTCCTTCAGTATATCCATCCACTTTCCACCCATCCGACAGGTAGTTTAAAGCAGACCTCGGCGAAGCTGCTTTGGGTCAGAGTGACATGCTTGGTGTCCTTTAGTACAATACCTGTTGCCTCCTTACCTATAGAACGGCCTCCCTGGTAAACCAAGAGGGTCAATGAATGCTCTTTCAAGAAACATCAGCTGGTCATTCAGGATTCTCACTGCCATGGGGCTTTGAGAATAAAAAAATAGATAATTAAAACCCTTACCATGAAGCTGCATTTTAAACTATTAAATAAGGATAAGGCATGGGGAAAATAAACTTCTAAATCACAGACTTTTAAGAAAATGAATATTAAATACCCAGGCTCATATGGTAAGCTGCATATAACAGCAGGCTCATCTTTCTATTATTTATAATAGGCAAGGAGACTGATTGGGAAATGGTTTGATTTCCTTTTCAAGACCACAGACTTTCCAGAAAGAAGTGAAAGACATTATTAATTCTTTGTAGGAGAGCCAGGACCCCTGCAAAGATAGACAGCGTGGACTGCCAAGCTGTTTTTGGTTAAGTCATTCAGCTCTACCCTGGAGGAAAGTAGCAGAGCAAAAAACACAGAATGAAGCGAGTTTGCAGGGGTCTCCAAGCGGAGAGAGAGACAGCTGTACCTCGTGGGCAGGCAGTCCCTTCCACACTTGGAAGCTGACAACTTAATCTTCTGGGGTGCCGCACAAGTTCCCTAGGTTATCCTACAACCCCAGGGAGAGCGAAAGGCCCCTCACAATGACTGACACAGCTTTCTGCCTGGATGGGAGGTGGGAAATCTTGTTTGAATGAATTTAAAAAATATTAAGAAAAGTGATATGAACTGTGGGGTGGTACAGTTTATGCTTGTTAAATAATGCTTTGAGTGTAACTTATTTTTCAATGTTCAAGTGGCAAGAGGTTAAAGGACATGCAAAAAAAAAAAGTATAAGAGAGAATTTCTACATTGTTCACAGGACTATTTGGGCCTGTAGTAAAATGGGTTACAAATGCACTTAAACCCACAGAACTATGAATTACCAGCAGCAGTCAGAATTCTTACCACGCAAACTTCAAAAGACATGTTTCCTTAGCCCCTGCTATGGGATGGGTTTTTTATCTTTCAACAGCAACACGCCTCAAACTTTAATGTGAACACACTACCTGGAGAGTCTACTGCAGAATTCTAACTTAGCGGGTCTGGCACGAGCTCTGATATTCTGCTTTTCTAACAAGCTCCCAGGTGAGGCTGATGCTGCTGGTTAGAAGACCATAATTTAAGTAGCAATGATTCTGAATCGAATGCTTCAGTCCACTAACCACATTGTTTTTAAAAACAGTAGATAGCTTTACATTTGAAACTTACTTATTCAGATCAACTTGTGAAAGTCTTCTGTGGAAATCTGAAGCAGCTTCTGAGAAGTTTTTCACAGCAGAAAATAAGGACTCTTTTTAAAAAATAGAATAGAGGCGAAATTATTAAGCACAATGCTTCATATTTCAAAGTTTCACCTTCCCGCCGTCCCCATGCTAGCTTGCTATGACTCAATAGGTGTTGAAAGTATTTTTCTACTGAGTCTTTTTGCAGGTCCTTGGAATGTATTAGGAAATCTTGTAACAAAGAAATAATGTATAAAACTGAAAATGGCAAAACTGGTTCTTAAGGAAATAACAAATTTCAAGAGTCTAGGACATAAAAACTCCTCTTTATTTATCAGAAACTCAGCATTCATTTAATTATTCTTTCAATACTTATTTATTGGGACAACTGTATGCTAGATGCTATAAATGAGCTTCATTCCTATAATTATTACAGAATAAAACAATGCCATTTTTAGTTTTTAAGTAGTACATTTAAGACCTTATTTAAGGCAACCTGTGACAGACAAGCTGATATACTTAAACTCTGAGAACTGGGATCCAGTTTGGTCTGGTCAATCTTTAGTTCATAAAATTTCTAAGAAAAGGGATTAGGAAAGTGTATCATATTTTTAATAACAACCTGTTCATCATTTTCCATCTTTTCTAAACTGGACACTACCATACATTATTGATTTGCTTCTTGCATTAATCCTATAATGCAGGGGATTCAATATTCATTTTATAGATAAAGCATTACAGCTCCAAACAGAGGATCTTTGTGAGACTACAAAGCTAGTGAGTAATGCATTCAGTATAAGTACATTCAGTAGAAGAAATAAGCTCTTTTTTTGGCCTTCAATTATTGTTGCTGCTTTTAATATCATGTACAAATCAAACAATCTAATAGAAGATATTATGAAAGCTAAGGGAAGAGTGTTGAAGAAACTTTAAATTTCAAATGAAACACAAAAGTCAAAATATTAATAGAGAAAAATTAAAATGTGTCCCTAGGATTTAGTGGCACAAGTAAATGAAACCTTTGGAAAGAGCAGTTTTAGTAGTCTTAGGAACATAAGACAATGCAATGAGTTGATAAGCAGAATGTAGAGAACTGTATTGGAGAAGGCAATGGCAACCCACTCCAGTACTCTTGCCTGGAGAATCCCAGGGACGGTGGAGCCTGGTAGGCTGCTGTCTATGGGGTAGTGAAGAGTCGGACACGACAGAGCGACTTCACTTTCACTTCTTACTTTCATGCATTGGAGAAGGAAATGGCAACTCACTCCAGTGTTCTTGCCTGGAGAATCCCAGGGACGGCAGAGCCTGGTGGGCTGCCGTCTATGGGGTCGCACAGAGTCGGACACGACTGAAGCGATTTAGCAGGAGCAGCAGCAGCAGAGAACTGTATATCCATCTATCCATTGTTACATTCATCATTCCTTCATTAAAACGTTTCTGAGGGACTGTTGCCTGACCTTAAATGAAGGATTTTAACTGTGAAGGAAGGAGGGCAAATCGCCCAGAAGAATGTTTTTAAGATTTTCTATCTTTTCTAGATAATAAGAATATTCAGTGTTGATGGAGAGGCACCAGTGGAGATACAGAGCTTGAAAATAAGGGGGAGAACAGCATTTATAGATCAGCCTAGGGCCCTTGGACAGAGAAAGGATGGATCCATCAACTTTGTGCACAGTTCTTCTGCTGCAACTGTTTAATCTGTCTCTCAGTTGGACCCTACATAATAAAAATTAGTAAAGGCTAATTCACCAGAAAGAAATCGGGACATTTACGAAGAGACATAGATGCTGGATGGCCACAGGACTCCAAACACCCATCCTGCTGCAAGATCTGCTTATTTCTTCATTTCATCTCTCTTCATTTTCCCCATCACTGCAGTGACTGTACAATCATAATGATGATAAGCACGGTTTTCTAAATTTTTCTTGGCTTCAATTTCTAGATCTTAGTATTGCTGCTAATCCTCTTTTTGAAGATTACTAATTGCTGTGTGATTATATTCAGAAGCCATTACTGACCATCCAGTACTCATTTTCAGGGCCCTTACAGTACCCTCCGTGCACCCCTCTAATAGCTTATCTTCTGCGTTTGGTCTCTTCTCCTTCTCCACGAGAATGTAAGCTCTGTGAGGACAATGACTATTTCTTAAACTTCTATCATCCAGGAAATAACAGAGCACTTGGTACATAGTAGACACTCAGTATATATTTGTTAACTTTGATATGTACAAAGAATATGTACTCCCAGAATAATAAAAGAGAATGGTTACAATAAAACAGTAATAACAGCTGACATTAGGAGCACTGAGTGTCAGTCACCATTGTTTCTATGTACCAACCAACTGATCCACAACAATCTTGGAAACATATTTTCCTATTTTATTCATAATAAGACAGTAGAGATGTTAAGTAACTTTCACAAGGTTTGACAGTAACTGAATATTAGAGTCAGGATCTGAGCCAGAAAACTGCTTTCAAGATACAATGCTTAATGCTCCTACACTACACTATGCTATAATAAATTTCATCACTGCTTCACAGAAGAGACTTGGTGTGAAACAGCAACCACAAAAAGGCAAGATAGAAAAGGAAAGAATGCTGAAAACTATGTAAAAAAATCCTCCACGTAGGAAAACACTAACAGGTAAATGCTGTAATTATAATGATAACAATTATACTACATATATGTGGTGGAATCTGTGGCTTTCTCTACTTTCCAATCTTTCTGTAATATTGTTACACTATAATAGTATTGTTCTTGTAAAAATAAAAACATTTTAAAATGCAGCAACATAGGAAAAATATTTACCAGCCCAATGTCTGCAGCACAAACTTAGCACAATGGATTCATCCTACACATATCAAACTAAATGGCACTGTTTAATAGGTGTTTAAAGTTCTTTGTCTAGAAGTCAGGATGGTGAAATGAAGTGGGGATAAATTCTAGGATGAAACTTTATGCACTGATGATGACAGGAGATGATATCTTAAACCTCTAACTTGATGACTGTAAAATACCTGCCCAACCATTTCTTACCAAATGATACTCCATGGTGTCTACATGCTTGCTCATGTTTCCTAGATAAGTTATAGATACTTCTTGCATAGTTTTCCAAAGTTTTTGCATAGTCTTGAATATTGAAAGGAATGACTTTAGAGTCTGCAAGCTCATAAACCAATGCTCCTCGTAGCTGAGCCACAGCAAGCTGTTTTTTAAACGTGGGGTCATAAAACTTCTCTACCAATTCAAATGTCTCATAAATTGTATGGTATACTGGATAGCTGCTGTAAGTATCTGTTTTCTGGAAAAAAAAAAAAAAGGTAGGGAGGGATCAAGTATAGAAAAATATTAAATATTCATATTATAATATTTTATGGAATTATAAAATGCTTCCATTAAAAAACATATGGTACCCTGAGTTTCATCACAATGAAGGGAAAAGTTAAGACTAATTCACTAAGACTTCACCATGAAATGTTCACCAACTTAAAATTTTACCATTATTCACTTAATAAGTCATATAATCTTCATTCAAAATACTGCGTCTTGAAAATTTTCCTCATTGTTTTGATGACAGTTAAGGAGTACATACTCAAATTGAATATCAGCACAGTTAGAAATTATCTATCAACTGATTGACACTGAAAGGTTCTGTGCAGCTCAGTATTGATAACTGGAGGGTAATTCAGTTGATGCTTTAACAACATGGGTTTGAACTGCAGGGGTTCACTTATACACAGATTTTTTTTTTCAATAAATACGTAATACAGAACTACAGGATCCCAAATGTAAAGTTACACATGATTTTCAACTTCTCCAGGGGTTAACACCCCTGCCTCCTGAGTTGTTTAAAAGTCAGCTGTACATTTAAGCCCTTTGCCTGCATTCCCTAGCAGTGTATATCCACATGCCACCTAATCTTTGTTACAAAATTAAGGATTATCATTATAAACATAAATTGTTACAGGGTGGTACTCCATGTAAATATTTTTGAGTACTTAAATCTGCTTTTCTTAACGTTAGTTTACCTATCTACTTCTTTGATATAAACCTATCATTCTTATTGCTTTTAATATCACTGAAAGGAATCCCTGTATCTATCTCCTTCCATTTATCTAACATTCCGCTCTTAATCTGTGTTGCCTTAGAAACTAGATCACTTTGTTCAGAATGAGACAGAGTATAAAAGTGAACAGGCTTTGAAAGAGGGTAAAGTGCATCTCTCTTTTTTTAAAGGCAGCTTTAATGAAGTGTAATTTAATAACATTCATCAGCATTAAGTGTACACTGTGGTGAGTTTTTGTTTTTGTCTTTTAATTTTTAAAAGAAAATTTTTGGCTGTGCCACATGGCATGTGGGATCTTTATTCCCCAACCAAGGATCTAACCTGTGCCCTCTGTAGGGGAAGCATGGAGTCTGACTGATGGGAATTCCCAAAAGTACATCTCTTATAAATGAAGTGTAATGAGTATCAGTATACTGATTTACGCACTTATTTTGGGCTATTCTACAGCTGTTTTTGCTTACTTCCCTGTTCTTAGTTGTATTCTAGATAGTCAAATTTGCAAGGGATATGTATTCTAGACAAGCATGATGTTGGTGTATTGCACTTATCAGAAAATTAGCAAAATCTTTGACAAACCTAAGTGTACTGATGTAATCTTCAGTATGATTTATGACATAACTTATAACATAGACAAAAATATGGGTATAGGTTTGCATAGGTTTGCATATAGGTTTGCATAACCCATATACTTGCATACCATTAATGTGCTGGAGAAGCAACAGGGCAGATCAGAAAAGAATTAAATTTTCCAACACCTGCATCAGAAGAAGGATGCAAACCTCTTGGCAGTGATAGCCAGCTAAGCACCTGGCATTACTCTGTCAACTACCACTTCACTGAATAACCCTGGCAGTGAACATTCACAAAATAACACAAATTATTTCTCAGCCTATCTACAGTGGGACTTGCAGTCTAGCTCTATACCTGGCATCCTTCCCAGGGCACATGTCCATTCAGTGCCCGGTGCCCCACCATTAAATGACAGAATTCCTAACAAAATAATGTGGATTAAGTGCTTTGTATTCAAAATAAAGAAAATGGCTTACCCTATTCTTAGTGTAACGGACTCTTCCTGAAGCAATCCCAAGTCTCTGAAAATAGGCTTCAAAATCACTTCCAGATCCCAGCTTGCTGATTCTAAATGTATAATATAACACACACACACACAAAGAAGTAAATGCAAAAATAGATAACATAAATAGATGGGACAATGAATCCTGTCCCAACAACTGCAAGGAAGTGTATGGCACATTTATAAAAATTAAAAAAGATATACCACCCTCAAGAAAACTTTCCTATGAAGATCCCCTAGAGAAGGAAACGGCAACCCACAACATGTACTCTTGCCTGGAAAATCTCATGGACAGAGGCACCTGGCGGGCTACAGTCCATGGGGTTGCAAAGAGTTGGACAAGACTGAGCAACTAAACAACAACAACAACAACACCCCGACGATATGCTGATTTTAAACAATGAAAACTTTTTATTTTATTATTTAAAATAATAATAAACTTTAATTTATTTTAAAATTTATTTTTAAATTTTAGAAAATAAAGTTGATTAAAATGTGAAAAAAAAGGAACTTTCCTATTACACATATTTATACCTATGATAAACTTATAAAACTGCACTGACTACAAGCAGAGTTGGGCAGTGACACCAAATTTGGCAACCTGGTAACTATGGCCTCAGCACTTATGGCATTTTTTGAGGGAAAAACAAATAATAAGATATGATCTCTCCCCTCAGAGAACTGTGGTCTAGTATGAGAACTGCCATGAGAAAGTCTACATTTAAGATCATGAAGACTCTAAATGTGTCCTAGTATATTTCAGAAATAAATCTAATTATATTTCTTTGCATACAGTTAAGAAGCCACTATATACATACATATATATTTATATATAATATAATGACATAGAAGATTTTCACTTAAAATGATGTCAGTAAAACAGAATATAAAATTATGTATACATTAAGAAACTAACTATATATTTCCAAACTATTAGACGGGCTTTTGAGACTGAGACTTTGGGATGTTTTTTAATCTTTCACTCTAGTGTTTTTCTTTTTTTTGAATAAGCAAATAAAACATAATGAAAATACATTTACACTCTCACAAGCCTTACTTGCTATAAATTGTTACCAACAGCTAGTTTTAGAAATAGCATAGCAGTTGAAAACCAATATAAATACAAAATAAGTGCAAGACAGCTGTTGTATGAATGAGAAATAAAAATTAACTCCTAAATAAATTCTAAACTAACTACAGGTAAACACATAACTTGGTGGTTGCTGATAATGCACCCTAATAAATTTAGAAAGAAATAATCCATCTTTTTTTTTTACTTCATCATTACCATTTGAAGTTATATTTATTAATATATTTAATACATATAACTCATGTGCTCAGCCATATCTGACTCTTTGTGACCCCATGAACTGTAGCTCGCCAGACTCCTCTGTCCATGGAATTTTCCAATCAAGAATACTGGAGTGGGTTGCTGTTTTCTCCTCTAGCGGATCTTCCCAACTCAGAGATCAAACTTGCATCTCTTGCGTCTCCTGCATTGGCAGGGTGCACTACCTGGGAAGCCCTTATTTAACACATATCTGAATGTAATTTTATACAAGAATGCAAAGTAATACCTAATAATCTTTTACTAAATATTTGCAAAAATATTATCAAATTTGGCAACCTGGGATATCTGAGAATTGCATGTCTCGAGGAAGAAGGAGCAAAGGGGAACTCAACTGATCCTGTGGTAGAAAACGTGCATACAAGTGATTTACCTAGGCAAAGTTTTACTTTTTGACGAAGGGTCCTTTGCTAACCAGCTTTCATAAAGAGATTTACTCTCAAAACCATCATCAGGGCTGGAGATCTGAAAAGATAAGTCAAATATTAAGAAAAGAGGCAGAACAATTAAATTTTTGCCAATATTAAACCACATGTTATTTCATATCAACTTCTACCTTTATTTACATGAACATTTGTGTATTATACTCTTTATAGAAAAATATGCTTTTGCAAATGGCAGGGAAAAAATATCCCAGCCCAACTTCCTATTCATTTATAATTTGTACTTGTTAATAATCTGGCCATGCACTTAGGAGACTGTCCAAGACAATCTACAATGAGGCCTTAGAATAGCAGACAGACATTAAACAGGTGAGCTTGAAACTGTCAACGAGTCCTGGTTTTGCAGGGCAGGTGGGGTGAAAAGGAGCAGTTAATTTCAGAAAGTCTATGTTTAAACAATGTTGGAATTCAATGGGTTAATTCAATAAGCTACATGACCTCAGGTTTCTAGCTGGGGACTGTAAGAACTTATGGAGGGATACACACATAAACGTTTTTTATTATCCTCACTAAACATACACTTACAAATGTGTACTCTCCATTCCTTTCTCCACTCTAAGCATCACCAATTTAGAAAAGAAGAGCTATTTACTATTCCTCAGAAAAAATTAAGACAGATCTACTACATACCTCTTTTGTCAGTTTATACACCAATTGATGAAGAAGGGGTGTACAGTCAACTCTGAGAGTGTAATTGCCTGAAAAATACACAAGACACAAAGTATTTTAATACTTTCAAATGAAACTCCAATCTATATTTAATTCTAACTTTATTTTCCAAATGCAAACAAGATAACTATAAACTTCAAATTTAACACATCATTCACAGAGAATTAAAAATAGGGTGGAAACATGGAGAAGGAAATGGCCACCCACTCCAGTGTTCTTGCCTGGAGAATTTCATGGAGAGGAGACTCGTGGGCTACAGTCATAGGGTTGCAAAGAATCAGAAATGACTGAACGACTAACCCTTTCACACTCAGGAAGGAATTTCCAGCTCCAAGTCACCCTTGGGGAACTGCTTCATTTTGCAGTGCTTTGTGTAAAAATAAAGACTATTATTTAAGACAACAACAAAAATAGGATGGAAATAATTCTTCAGTGGCCAGAGAGGCTGCAGGACACACTCAGGATACTGGAGTTTGCTAAGGCGGCAGCTCCCACAGTAACAGTCAGAGTCGTTCTTCACTAAGGCAGCATCACTTAGGGGGACTTTGGCAAAGGAAGGGGTAAGGCGCAGTATTCATTCTCTTCATTTATAGTTCCCCAGCCAGGGATCAAATCCAGGCCCACAGCAGTGTAAGCATGGCATCTGATCCACTGGACCACCTGGGAATTCCCTCATTCATTAATACAAGAGTATACAGCAGAAGTTAGACCAGAGCGTGTCAGCAGCTGGGAAGTGTGCCCTGACATCTACCTAGAAATAATAACAAAAGCCTAGAGATACAAATGTCACATACTAGGGTCAAAAGGAAGTGTGCAGATTTTGTTCCCTTCAAATCTGCTTCATTACATTCAGGAAGTATTTCTGTATAAAATATTCTGTTACATATTTCTTCTGAAATATTTTAGTCCAATCCTTTTACTATCTCCACATGAAGAATGTAATGACATACTAGAGATTTTCTTTACCTTTTTTTGGCACCTCAGGTAATTCAATGTTATTCAATACAAAGTTTAACCACCCTCTAAAATATCTCGTATCTTCATAACACATAGTGTTTTTAATAAAAATATTCTTAAAAAAAAAATTTTAAAGCCAAGTAACAATGTTGTGATAGTTTCAGGTAGACAGCAAAGATTGTCAACCATACATATACATGTATCCATTCTCCACCTCCCATCAAGCCTGCTGAATATTAGTAATTCAAAATAGGCAAACAGTAAATATAAAGAAATTAGGATTAATAGTTTAGTTATGAATCACATTGATTCATTGAATTATAATGATTTTCTCTCTAGTAAAATGGAAAATGAAGGTATTGAGGTATCTCATAGGAAGAGAATAAACTTGGTTTACAAACAGAATGTACAGACTTAAATGATAGTATACTATTTAATAACATTCAAAAATAAAATTTACCTTCTATAGATGAATCTGAGTTGATATAAGCAATGCTTCGCTCCTGGAGTGTTTTTACATTCTCCTACAGTTGAAGCAAAGTTGTTACTTAACTCACAGTATTTTGTGGGAATATAAACAAAATAGATTAATTGAGTATAAGAGTAGTCTACAAATACCTTTATAAAACCCATGAATTTGACAATAATTTCTGAGAAAATGTTGTTAACTGGTTGGTTGACAACACTAATACATTTAAAACAAGAAAAACATTATGATGCTTAGTTACTGTTTATAGCAATAGCAGTGAGCCCTGAGGCAAAAGCATTTTCAGAGTACAGTTCCTTGATGCCCTGTGAGTGAATAAAAAAAAGGCAATGCCAAAGAATGCTCAAACTACTGCACAACTGCACTCATCTCACACGCTAGTAATGCTTAAAATTCTCCAAGCCAGGCTTCAACTATACGTGAACCGTGAACTTCCAGATGTTCAAGCTGGTTTTAGAAAAGGCAGAGGAACCAGAGATCAGATTGCCAACATATGCTGGATTATCAAAAAAGCAAGGGAGATCCAGAAAAACATATAGTTCTGCTTTATTGACTATGCCAAAGCCTTTGACTGTGTGGATCACAATAAACTGTGCAAAATTCTGAAAGAGATGGGAATACCAGACCACCTGACTTGCCTCTTGAGAAACCTGTATGCAGGTCAGGAAGAAACAGTTAGAACTGGACATGGAACAACAGACTGGTTCCAAATAGGAAAAGGAGTATGTCAAGGCTGTATATTATCATGCTGCTTATTTAACTTATATGCAGAGTACATCATGAGAAATGCCGGGCTGGAAGAGGCACAAGCTGGAATCAAGATTGCCAGGAGAAATATCAATAACCTCAGATATGCAGATGACTCCATCCTTATGGCAGAAAGTGAAGAACTAAAGAGCCTCTTGATGAAAGTGAAAGAGGAGAGTGAAAAAGTTGGCTTAAAGCTCAACATTCAGAAAACTAAGATCATGACATCTGGTCCCATCACTTCATGGCAAATAGATGGGGAAACAGTGGAAACAGTGGCTGACTTTATTTTTCTGGGCTCCAAAATCACTGCAGATGGTGACCGCAGCCATGAAATTAAAAGACGCTTACTTCTTGGAAGGAAAGTTATGACCAACTTAGACAGCATATTATAAAGCAGAGACATTACTTTGCCAACAAAGGTCCATCTAGTCAAAGCTATGGTTTTTCCAGTGGTTATGTATGGATGTGAGAGTTGGACTATAAAGGAAGCTGAGCGCTGAAGAATTGATGCTTTTGAACTGTGGTGTTGGAGAAGACTCTTGAGAGTCCCTTGGACTGCAAGGAGATCCAACCAGTCAATCCTAAAGGAAATCAGTCCTGAATATTCATTGGAAGGGCTGATGCTGAAGTTGAAGCTCCAATACTTTGGCCAAATGATGTGAAGAACTGACTCACTGGAAAAGACCCTGATGCTGGGAAAGGTTGAGGGCAGGAGGAGAAGGGGACGACAGAGGATACGACAGAGGATGAGACGGTTGGATGGCATCACTGACTCGATGGACATGAGTTTGAGTAAGCTCTGTAGGTTGGTGATGGACAGGGAGGCCTGGCGTGCTGCAGTCCATGGGGTCACAAAGGGTCGGACATGACTGAGCGACTGAACTGAACTGAATCTCTAGCAATCATTACATACATAGAAGTGTGAGATCCATTGAAACTGGATATACCCATGTAAATTTATCATTTAAAGTGAGTAGTTGAAAATTTCCATTTATCTAAAAGTTTTTTTAAGGTATGATGAAGAAAAAGAACAAAAAAAGCAGAGAATAGAGAAAAAACTAGAGGGAGAGAGGATGGACAACAGGACTAACAAGATATTCTTTCTCTCTCTTTCACACACTCACCCTGTAAGATAAAGCAGAGAAAGACTAGTGTCACACACATATGAGAGTATGCTGAGAGATCTCTCTACTTCTCTCTCTAGCTTGCTACCATATAAGAACACGTCACAATAAAAACATTTAAAGCTGTGAGTGGTTATTACACAAATGAGGATTCTTGTCTCTGTAGCTGCCCACATAGGTCAGGTGACAGCTGACTCTGCTATAGATAAATAGAGTCAGAGTCCCCATTATAACAGACTCACAGTAGAAATAAAGAAGATTCCTAAACTATATTTAAGAAGGTAAGGATGCTCTTGAATGTGATCAAGAATCTGGCAGAACACTAGAAACAGTATTGAAACTGTCTTTTAACAAACATGTATTTAAATTAATGCAAGGCATATTATATATATATTTATACATGTATGTATTCCTAAGAAATTATTCATCTAAAGTTAAGCCTATTCCAAAATACATATTCACAATACCAGCGTAATAATAAAACTTCACAATATAAATGGAACTGCAAGTAACTGTGTGTGTGTGATTTTACTTCCATATTTACTTAATTCATATTATTTTAAAGTAAAGTAAGAGGAAAGGAGTCAGAAGGAAACAACAGATGGCAAGAAATACATGACATGCTTTAAAGCAGTTCTATAAAATCTGGACTCATAAAATAGAGGATGGGTGAGGGAAACTGTTTTCGGCACACTTGCCTTCTGAGCTTACCTTGCACATTTAAGAACTTAGAGATACTGGAGAGGGAGGCTAAGGGAAGAGGATGACAGAGGGGAGCCTAGAAGAGACACTTAAAGCATCAAGAGTCAGTGACAGAGTTAATCATAGCTGACGCAAAAAATAAGTCAATTTACAAAATTATCATCTTATACTCCACAATCAGGCATTTTCATGAATGGTAAAATAAACCCATGTTTACAATTATGTATCAAATCTATAAATGTGAAATTATGATAAAGTATAGTCACAATAGAACACCTTATGTTTTCTTAGATAGAAGAAATCCAAAGAAACTTCAAAAACTTGAAAATTAACTCCAAGGATCTATATCAGATTTTAGATAAGTTAATTCATTTGTCAGAAACAGCCTGCTAGTTTTAACTGCTTTCTGAACATATAGATTTTTCACAAAACAAATATAAAGTAAAATATTTTGACAATAATAAATTTGTTCACAGTCCAGTAATTAAGAGGATATTCTGTTTTGCCAATCTGCTATGAAAGTAAGAACAGACTCTAATTCCTAAATTCTCTCGAGCATTTATCAAAATTAAAACCATATTAGGTAATGGAACCTATTTGTGACTATCCTGCTGCTGCTGCTAAGTCGCTTCAGTCGTGTCAGACTCTGTGTGACCCCATGGACATCAGCCCACCAGGCTCCCCCGTCCCTGGGATTCTCCAGGCAAGAATACTAGAGTGGGTTGCCATTTCCTTCTCTGATGCATGCATGCATGCTAAGTTGCTTCAGTCGTGAGATATAAATATTTGTTGCCTGTTGACCAAGAAAACAAGAACTTTTCTGTCTTATTTACCTCAGCCCATTCTGTAGAACCCAGAAGTCCAAATTCTTCTGCATCCCAGCTGGCAAAAATGATTGTTCTTCTTGGTCTCCAGCCTGTAATCATTGTTAACACACATAACTAGGTTTATCTGCCTAAAAGCAAAGGAAATTTCAGTTGGTCACTTTTTGTCACCACCTACCACAGAAACACTACTTACCACTACTCAGCAGTTTCCCAAAACTCTGGGCAACTTCTTGCAAAGTAGCAGCCCCACTGGTTGGGTCAATGCCTCCAAATACCCAGGAGTCCCGATGACCTCCCAGAATAACATACCTGTCTGGGAAAAAATGTGTTCAAAAGAACTTCAACTTTGAATACATTTATAAAGAGTACAATTTATGTTTTTAAATTAAACTTCCTCTAATAAATGTACCACCACGGTACAAGATGTTACATGTGGGGTTTGAGGGGAACAGGAGTTATATATGAGCTCTCTGTACCTAGTACTCAATTTTATTCTGAACCTAAAACTGCACTAAAAATAAAGCATATTAAAAATGTTATGTTTTAATCCAAGGGAAAAAAAAAAACTTCCTCTTGAGTTTTCCCATAGAAATGAACACCATAAGGTAGAGTCTTCTTTTAGAATTATACTTTTTTCTTCCAAAGTTAGTCATTTCACATCAGCCCGAAAAAATTAGCTGTGGACTAAAACCTTCTTGCAATCTTGTAAAGCCAAATATCTACAATAATCCATCAACTTACCAGGTTCCACAGATCCTCTGATAGTTCCGATTACATTGTAAATCCTTGTGATTTTATTGATATTATAAACATGCATTCTAACCTTCCTAGAATTTCAAAGGGGACAAATTACTTCACATGGAGCATTATGTCTAACAGTTTTCTTCCACTGTTTTATTATAAGAAATCTCAAAAGTACAGAAAATTGTATAACAGGGCAATAACTTCCCAAATACCCACCACATAAACTCAAATAATTGTAATATTGTTGAACCATTTGCAAGTAAGTTGCAGATATCATGACATCTTACTCCTGTGTACTGAAGCATCCACATTAAATTCAAATTTTAAAAACCAAACATCAATATTTTATATTTTTCCTCCCTCATAGCTCTATTGTCAATATTTAAAGTTCAAAATATTCTATTATTCTATTCTATTATTATTCAAAATATTCTAATATTAGCTTGTGAGTTAATTCTAAAATTTTTAAACACATGCTACACAATTACAAAAATAAGGGAGAAAGCCTATTTATTATCTATTAAAGGTCAAAGAAGACTAAGTTTTTTAATATATATTTATTAATTTGGCTGCACCGGATCTTAGTGGTGGCATGTGAGATCTGATCAGGGGCTGGACCCGGGCCCCCTGCATTGTGAGCTCAGAGTCTTAGCCACTGACCACCAGGGAAGTCTCCAGAGAAGCTTATTTTTAATTTGTTTTATAGTAATATCAATTCCTGATATTCAGTTAACATTTTCCAAGATTATCAAAATGGTCCATCAGGATACTGTTAAAGACCTGACTGAGTGCTGCCTACAAGGAACATGATAAACTCTGTTGTTAAATGGCAGTTTGAGAAACACCTGCTAAAATGTACAAGACAGCTATATGATGAAACTCTTCCAGGCCATCACTGTTGATTCTGATCTGGGCCTGCCTTTTAAATAATCATTCATCAATTGTAATTAACCAAATCAGAATTCACAGGAAAGTATAATCAAGATCAAAAAATCATAAAAAAATGCCATTCACATTTTATAAAGCCAAACTGACATGGGAAAATGTTGAGTCTCTTTATCAGAGGGGAACAAAAATTTTTAATCTATGGTAGGCTCATAGGAAGTGCATAGGGAACCCAGAACTTTCTACTTTTTAGTTCATTTTTGAATGCAAGAACTAACAAGTCAAATCCCGTAAAGTGTAGATTCTGGTGTTTCTTCCCCTAAAAGTACATTGTGATTCTGAATGTGTATATAATTCATGAATAGTATTCAACTAAAAAGTGCCTTTAGGGGAAAACTAATCAATGGATGTTGTTCTGCATTTTAAGACATTTGGTAAAGGATTTTATTTTTGCTTCTGAATGATAAAAATTAATAGCAAAAAGCAAAAGTATTCTTTAGCATGTTTTTTAAATATATAAGCCTAAGATATATTAGTAAGAAACCCAACTTCACTGACATATGTAATTAAATGAAGAAAATAAAAGAATGCTGTAACAATGAGGAATGAGAGAAGACAAGCTATTTTAATCTAAACGGAAAATAAACTAGCTATCTGCTCAGATTCTCAAAGAAGCTCATCTACATCGTTAATCTCTATATTTTCCTAGTTTTTAGTATCACGGACTCCAGAAGTACCTGAATTACCTAGAGAGGCACTGCTATGGTTTCCAGAGGGTCAGCGAGAACGTTGTGGGCTCTGCAAATGAAGTTCCTGAAATTCTGGACAACTTGGGAGATTGACTTTGGGGCATCTCCTACTTCACCATCGACATAAATGACTTCCAGAGGAATTTGATCTTCAATCTGGGACTCTACGCTGAGGGAGTCTGGCTGGCCAGGAATCTGAGTGACAGTGACATGAGCCAGGGGTGCAGCCATACACCCTGTGTATGTGTCTGAAGGAAGCCCTGGGCTGTATCTGGACCTTCCAAAACCTAAGCCTCTGATCTGGGACCGCCACAAGACCTGCCCTGGGGGCAATTTGACTCAGATGGGCCTTTTCCTTCCCTGCCTCAGTAACAGGGAAGAACATGTCCTATTTTATTACAAGTTAATCACTAAAGGGATGTTGCCTATAAGATTAAATGATACGCAATGGCCCATAATGTCCTGCTATCACTTCAAACTCATTACATTCCAAATAAACTGAACTCAAGAATAGACTCCAGAGGGCAGGGTTTTTGCCTGTTTTGTACACTGCTGAATCCCCAGTGCCCAGGTGGTGCCAGGGTACAGTAAATGCTCAAGAAATAATTGTGAAAGGAATGAATATCCTCCTATATAGAGAAATACAGGAGAAATCTGAGAACAAACTCAGCTCACATATCAGAGTTACTTCTGCCTATCAAAGTCTTTGTTTGATAAGACTATTTTAAAACTCTACAGAAACAGAATTTAACTTGTGGGAATCTGATAATACAAATAATTCATGTCCACTGAAATGCACAATTTCTCTCATAAACTTTCTTTTCCTAATGTGGAAGAAATCAGTTTTTCAGCTATTAAGCATACTCACTTCAGCATTCCTAAGGAGCTCATTTTTTGTATCATATTTGAATTCTCCTTTGAACCAGCTTTTAACTCCTTTCGGGTTCCCTTATTGCATTAAATAAAATTTTTACACAAATTCATTTTATATTTGTATGAGAATTATGATTTTACTTAAAAAAATCATCCTTTATCATTTCTGGAAGTCCCACTGAGATGTACAATGGATTCTTCTTGGAGAGCCAAGAATGCGCAGCTTAAACCCAGACATATCTTCCTTGACTCTCAGATATAAATTCCAAGCAGCAATAAAATTTTAACTTGGCTGAATCTCTGTATCTCCAGCTTACTTTTTTCTACTGATTCTGTGTTCTATTTATGTTTCTAGTTTGCTTACAGCAGATAAATTACACCCCATTTGTGGTGGCAATGGTAAAGAATTTGGTTTCAGGTCTTGTCATTTGGTAATCTTAAATTTGATCAATATATTATTATTAAGATCTCTTAGATGAGAAATGACACAGTCTTTTTTTTAGCAATTATTTTTTAAAAAATTGTGTATTTGCCCATTTTGAGTTCAAATCAAATAGAGTTTTTTACTCATGGTGCAAAGCTTTTTGATATCTTCACCAGGGAGATGTTCTGTTTCTGAGCTTACTCTTGAACTGTGACTGTAGCTACGTGTTTATTGATTTATCTGTGTTTGTATGTTTCTGTTTATAAATCAGAAAGGCTTATATCTTTCATTGTGTACCTCGAGAGCATATTAATAATTAGATAATAAAGTCTCTTATATTAAAAGATGTCCACTTTGAAAGACAGAGATAAATAAGCACGTACATAAAAATATTTCTAACATTTCTATAAAATAAAACTGAACTCCTAATACTTTAAAGGGCTTCCCATGTGGTGCTAGTGGTAAAGAATCTGTCTGCCAATATAGCACATGCAAGAGACCCAGGTTCGATCCCTGTGTTGGGAAGATCCCCTGGAGAAGGAAATGGCAACTCACTCCAGAATTCTTGCCTGGAAAAATCCCATGGACAAAGGAGCCTGGCGGAGTACAGTCCACGGGGTTGCAAAGAGTCGGACATGGCTGAACACTTGTCAGCAGCAATAATTTAAAAGTTCTGAAATAAAACTCTTAACAGAAATTAAAAGACATTCTCAGAATACAATTTCATATTGTTAAGTAAATTTCTAGCAAACAAGACTGACTTAATAATTTTGTCTTAAAACAGCTATATTTTCTCCAATTCATCAGTTTTTAAGTTTCCCTTCCTCTCTACCTTTCAAGCAAATCAGAGCACTTTAAGTTCTGATCATGCCATGATGTTCTACAACTCTGGACAAGCTGTTCTCTGCTACCGGCATTTCCTGCCTAATTTGACCCACTGGAAAATTTATTCTTTCTGTAAAATTAAGCTCAGTGAAACACATTCTGCGATCACACCTCCTCAAAAGTGCTACAACGGTTAATAACAGTAATAACTAAAAAAAGTGTATAGAGCCTTATAACAGTCACATGCATACCCATTTTAACTTATTAACCCCCCCACACAGGAAGTTATCAGTAAAAGGCTGGAACCATTCTCTCTTTTACTCCTTCCCTTAAGTTAAGTTAGTGCTTCATATGCATAGCATTTTGACAACTATCTGAAGAACTATTTAGAAACATCAGGTAAAGAAGGAAGTGAAGGGACTCCCCTGGTGGTCAAGTGGCTGAGACTCCATCTCCCAGTGCAAGGAGCCCCAGCTCAGCCCCTGGTCAGGGATGGTACCACCTGCTGCAGCCAAGACCTGGCACAGCCAAACAAATACTTTAGGAAAAAAAAGAGGAGAGTTAAAATGTTAAACCTGTAACTCAAATGTAGCAACTTTTGAGATGCAAAAAACAAATGTTATGATAGCCCTGTTGGAAGAAGAATTTAATACATCATTCCATAAGTAGTTCTGCTTAGTCACCCAGTCATGTCCAACTCTTTGCAGGCCTCTTGGACTGGAGGCTGCCAGCCTCCTGTGTCCATGGGGTTTTCCAGACAAGAATACTGGAGTGGGTTGCCATTTCCTTCTCCAGGGGATCTTCCCAACCCAGGGATTGAAACCAGGTCTCCTGCATTGCGATCTGAGCCACCAGGGAAGGTCTAAGTACTTCTAAATGATAATTATTCACTATGAAAAATGAGAAAAATAAGATAAGCAAAACAAAACTGGCAGAACACTTATCTTGACATTTTCCCATTAAATATGTGAACTTTTTCTAGGATACTAAAGTAACGTAAAATTACCTGAAAGAATCATGTCCTATAAAGCCAGGCCCAATGTTGTAACTCACGTTAAGACCTCCCTTCCAGCTCTCATCTGGTGAAGCAATTCCTCCCAAATAGCTGTCAAGAGAAAATGAAAATGACAGAAAAAAAGGCTGAGCACCACAATTTCTAAAAGAAATCACAAAGTAAGCTGACGAGGTTTTATTCAGACATTTAACAAATATATATTGAGGATTTACTAAGTGCTGGGAACTGTAAAATTCCCTTCCTTAGCAGAGCTTACATCCTAGCGAGAGAACCATAACTGAGATACATGAGTAAAATGTTTATATGCTAGTGGTTAAGAGCTAAGGAGCGGAATTCTGTGGTGGTCCAGAGGTTAGGAGTTGGCCTTTCACTGCCTGGGCCTGAGTTCAAGCCCTGGTCGAGGAACTAAGATCCTATGTGCTTCACAGCACAGCATCTCACCAAAAAAAAGAGCTAAGGAGAAAACAACCCAAATAGTGAGGGGAAATGGGAAACATCAGTGCATCAGCCTTTCTGCTTCTTACTTTAATTATTTACATAGGGAAGCATTAGTTTCAAGAAATCCTAAACATATGAAATTAAGGAGAAGAAGAAATTAATTTCTAGAAAAGCTGCTGGTTACACAGTAGCCACTCAAAAAGCAATTATTGAATTGCATTTGTACATACATTAAACAAAAAATAGACATTAGGAAATCTGAAAAGGAACCAACAAGTTATACAATACAATAATGGCAAACACTGACTGAATGTTTTTCATATGATATTTATATAATGATTTCATCTAGTCATAATAACTCTATCAGGCAGAAACTAGTTCTGTCTTCATTTCAGAGAAGGATCCTGAATCAGAGAAAGATTGAATAACTGCTGTAAGTTTACACATCTAGTGAGTTGTGGGCATCACCACATTTTTGAAATGCAGGTCAAATACAAATACCTAAGATAACCTCATTGCTTGAAAAATCTCAAGTCAATATTTTTATCTTTGGACATAGTTTTTCCTTTTGAGACTTTCACTTGTAGTAAATGCAGGAATGTTTTCTTATTATTTCCTAGTTATTAAACTGCTCTTTCCTTACGGAAAAAAAGAGATGTGTTCTATATTTCCTACTTCAAGAGTCAATTCTGATATAAGACTTCACTTTTAACATAGGTTTTAGAAGAGAAAATAGATGTTTAGTGTAATATATCTTATTCTCAAATGCAACTAGAAAACTATACCGTAATAGTACTTCTGCATCATTATATCCAATGGGATGTACAGAGATTCGGGGAATTCCCACTCCATCTTCAACATCAAGTCTGAAGGCATACTCTGCAGAAACCAATTGCATAAGAGGAGAACAGCTGAGGAATCTGAGCAAAGGGCATAAAGGAATTCTTGCTATTACTAATGCAGATTTGCTGTATGTTTGATATTATATCCAAAATTTAAAGTTCCCCCAAAGTGACTGACTGTTTTATCCAATATGGGGTCTATTTAATTTGACAGTAAAAAATTAAATCATTTACATTTTAATGTAAAATCAATTACAGGGATTACAGATTCTCATATTTGCTTTGACATTTCTCTTGAATTTTCCAAGAATATTTTATTTCCTTATATATCCTGAATCCTTTTCAGAGAAGCTTCAGTTAACTAAATGCCTGGAAAATGTGTCCCAGATTCTGAAAGTAGAAAGAACTGTAAAAAAAGAACTGAAGGGAATGCAAAATGCTGGGCTGGATAAAGCACAACCTGGAATCAAGATTACCAGGAGAAATATCAATAACCTCAGATATGCAGATGATACCACCTTTATGGCAGAAATGAAGAGGAACTAAAGAGCCTCTTGATGAAAGTGAAAGAGGAGAGTGAAAAAGTTGGCTTAAAGCTCAACATTCAGAAAACTAAGATCATGGCATTTGGTCCCATCACTTCATGGCAAACAGATAGGGAAACAGTGGAAACAGTGACAAACTTTATTTTTGGGGGCTCCAAAATCACTGCAGATGGTGACTGCAGCTATGAAATTAAGAGACGCTTGCTCCTTGGAAGAAAAACTATGACCAACCTAGACAGCATATTAAAAAGCAGAGACATTACTTTGTCAACAAAGGTCCATCTAGTCAAAGCTATGGTTTTTCAGGTAGTCATGTATGGATGTGAGAGTTGGACTATAAAGAAAGCTGAGCACTGAAGAATTGATGCTTTTGAACTGTGGTGCTGGAGAAGACTCTTGAGAGTCCCTTGGAGCAACCAGTCCATCCTGAAGGAGATCAGTCCTGGGTGTTCATTGGAAGGACTGATGCTGAAGCTGGATCTCCAATACTTTTATCATCTGATGCGAAGAACTGACCCACTGAAAAAGACCCTAATGCTGGGAAAGACTGAAGGCAGAAGGAGAAGGGGACGACAGAGGATGAGATGGTTGGATGGCATCACCAACTTGACGGATATGAGTTTGAGTAAACTCTGGGATTGATGATGAACAGGGAAACCTGGTGTGCTACAGTCCATGGGGCCACAAAGAGTCAAACATGACTGAGTGACTGAACTAAGTGGTGTTGGGAATAAGTGAAAATTTCTTACTCAAATAATAACAATATACTCCTTAAAGGAAGATGAAAAGTACTGTCAGGCTTAAATTCTAATTGGGACTTGTGGTTTCACCCAAAACAGAGTTTTCTAGAGCATTAAAACAACTATCTTATAAAAAAGAGAGGTTTCAAACAAGTTACATCAGATTCCACTTTAAGAAACTGAAAAAATAAGAGCAAATGAAGCAAAAATCAGCAGGAGAAAGGATATATCCTACTAAAGACCAGAACAGAAATGTTAGAAATAGAAAACAGACAAATGATAGAAATTATCAATGAAATCCAAAGCTGGTTCCCTGAGTGGATTAACAAAATTGATAAATCCCTTGCAAGACAAATCAAGAAAGAGAGATATAAACCATCAATATCAGAAATAAAGAAGAGAATAGCACTCTAGTACCTGTAGAAAAGAAAGAAAGAGAGAGAAGAAAGGAAGAACATTACAAACAACTATGTGCCCATAAATTTAACAACTTAGATGAAATGGACAAAATTTTAAACTAGCAAATCTCACTCAAGATTAAATACATAACCTAAACAGCCATATATCTACTGAAGAAATTTAATTTGCAGTTAAAAACATTCCTACCAACAAAATACCAGGCCCATATCAATTCATTGAAGGATTCTACATCATGCCATGTCACACTCAGTCACTCAGTCACATCTGACTCTTTGCGATCTCATGGACTATAGCCCACCAGGCTTCTCTCTCCATGGGATTCTCCAGGCAAGAATACTGGAGTGGGTTGCCATCTCCTCCTCCAGGGGATCTTCCTGACCCAGGAATCAAACCTGCACCTCTGGTGTCTCCTGCATTGGTAGGTGGATTCTTTACCACTGAGCCACATTTGCAGAAAAAAATCAAACCCATTCTACACAAACACTTGCAGAAAAATGAAGAAGATGAAGTAATTTTTAATTCATTTCATGAAGTCAATGTTACTGCTACTACAATGAGACAGAGATACTGCAAGAAAGTAAATTGATAGGACAATATCCGTTATCATTAAACACAGATTCTTAGCAAAATTTTTAGCACAAATTCAGTAATATACCAATATTGCATAGAAGAATACTACAATGAGGACTCCCTGGTGGCCCAGTGGTTAAGAATCCACCTGCCAGTGCAGCAGCATGGGTTCGGTCCCTGGTCCAGGAAGGTCACACAAGCACCTACACCCCTGTGCCACAGCTACTGAGCCTGGACGCCGCGACTGCTGAAGCTCGTGTACCTAGAATCTGCGCTCCGCGACGAGAAGCCAGTGCAATGTGAAGCTTGTGCACTGCAACTTGAGAGTAGCCCCCGCTCACTGCAACTAGAGAAAGCCTGCACACAGCCATGAAGACTCAGCATAGTCATAAATAAAAGAAAAAAAAAGAATGCTCCATTAGAGCATTGTTTCGGTTTAACACTCAAAAATCAATCTGGGGAATTTCCTGGTAGCCTAGTGATTAGCCTAGGATTCTGTCTTTACAACCATGGCCTGCCTTCAATACCTTATTCGAGAACATCCAATAAGCTGCATGGGGTGCACCCCCCCCCACTCCAATCAATATGTATAATTGAAAAAAATACATAGATAAGAACAATTTAAGATCATTTCATTAGGTACAGTAAAAGAACCTGACAAAATTCCATACACATTGCTAGTCAAATGAGATAAATATGCTAAGATAAAAATTTATAGCACTTTAAGATAGAAGTGAACTTCCTCAATCTGATAAAAAAAGAATCTATAAAATCTGAAAAAAAAAGAAAAACAAAAACAAACCTATAGCTAAGATCCTACTTAACAGAGAAAGACAGGGACAGTCTTTGGGGCAGAAACATGGCAAGGATATCTGCTCTAACAACTTTTTACAGCAATGTCCTAGAAGTACCAGATACTACAATAAGAAAAGAAAAAGAAAAGGCATCCAGAATAGAAACAAAGAAATAAAACTCTCTTTATGTGCATGTGACATGATCACCTATGCAAAAGCTGATGGAATCCACAAAAATCTAGCAGAACTAATTACTGATGAGTTTACAGAATACAAGATCAATACACAAGATCAGTATGTTTCCTCTAGAAACAACATTTCCATTTACTAACAATGGTCAACTGGAAACCGAAATTTAAAATGTAATTTAAAAAAGAATAACACTATGAAATTACTATGGATAAATGTGAAAAAAGATACACATGGTCTGTACAGTGAAACAACAAACGCACTGAGAGAAAATTACGGATACCTGAAAAAATCGAGAGCTGTTCCATGTTTATGGGTCAGAAGATCCCATATTTTAAAGTATCAATTTTCCCAAAACTAAGCGATAGGTTTAATTCAACCTCAATCAACCTCCCAGGAGACTTTTGGTAGAAACTGATAAGCCAGTTCTAAAATTCACATGGGAAGGAACCAGAATAGCTACCAAAACTTTGAAAAAGAATTTTAACTTGGAGACTTTCATATCAATTAGAATGTAAAGTTAAAAAGATCAACCATACTAAGCACTGACAAGGATGCAGCAAATGGAACACTCACATACTGCTGCTAGGATGCAAAATGGTACAACCACTTTGGAAAACAATTTGAAAATCATCTGTCATGTTATCCAGCCATGCCATTTCTATTCATTTACTCAAGAGAGACAAAAGTGTATATACATATAAAGACTTGCATACAACTGTTCATAGCAGTTTTATGTGTAATATCTCCAAAACTCAAAGCAATCTAAATTCCCAAGAATAAATGAATAAACAAACTGTAGAGTATTCAATGGAATACCATTCAACAACCACAACAAAAAGAAATATTGACACAGACATCAACATAGCCGAAGCTCAAAATAATTATACTAGACAGAAGGCAAATCAAAGATTCCTAGGGATTGGCAGGGAGGGAAGGGGGGTTGATAGGAAGGCAACACAAAAAGATGAGATGAAACTTTTTGGGGTAATGTACACATTCATTATCTTGATTGTGGATATGGTTACACAAATGTGAAAATCTTTCACACTTTACATATTAAATCACACAAAAAATCTCATCGGTATTTTCAAAAATAGAAATATGCAATCTATAGAAAAATAAAATCATTACACAGTTCAGAAACCCTAAGTTCTAGTTTGCTAAGAATAGTATTACTCTGGACATGTGTTCTTCAACCTCTACTAAAGGCAGAAGAGAACTGAACTGTCTACTCCCCCTCTTCATGTCCTCACCTCATGGAAACTTAAAGCTGAAATAATAAAAGCGAAATTCTTTTAAATTCCTAGCAGTGGCAATCCAAAATACAATTGTGCACAATTTTAATGTTATTCTATAGATGCTTACTTTTATGCCTTCTGTAAGGACAAGTAATATTTTTGCAAAAATGAGTGGGCCATAACAGGCTCATCTGTTACCTTTAGCTGGATAGCCTGGAGTGAGGGGGTCACCAGCACCATTGAGATTTAACACATTCCCTCTCTGGGCTGCAGTTCCAGGAAGGTTCCACCCTTTGGGATATGGCTGTACCCCAGGAGCAGAGTAGTCAGCTGGATCTGAGTACAAGATGATTCCCTTGGCTCCTGCCGACATGGCATTTTTAACCTTTAGGGGCAGTAAGCAATCCATAATGTAGAAATGGCCAAAGACTGACTTACCCATGTAAGATAAAGCCAATTTAATAACATAAGGAAACTTACACACTGTTTTATTATCACACTGGTAACAATCAGTTCTTTTTGGCTTGAATTCGATTTCTGCCTAGGTAGTCTTAACAACTCGCATTTATTCAACATAACTCCAAACAAGTCATTAGCTTTTTTGTGAAGCATTCCTATTATTCCTAAATTGCAAAATTAACGTCTTTCTTTTCTATACATCTTCTGTATTTTGTGTATGATTATATTACCAGATGGAGCAAAGCATTGTAAAATAACTTTTAAACATCTTTCTTCTCTACTACTACTCTTGAGAACAAGGACCTTGTCTAGCTCACTTTAACTATCTACCCCTTAGTGTTTGGGGTTTCCCAGGTGGCTCAGTGATAAAGAATCTGCCTGCAATGGAGGCAACGCAGGAGATGTGGGTTCTATTCCCGGGTCGGGAAGATCCCCTGGAGGAGAGCATGACAGCCCACTCCACTATTCTTGCCTGGAAACTCCCATTGGACAGAGAAGCTTGCTGGGCCACAGTCCATTGGATCCCAAAGAGTTGGACATGACCAAGGCGACTGAGCATGCACACTCTCCAATGTTTAGAACACCACAGACTTCAGTTCAGTTCAGTCACTCAGTCGTGTTCGACTCTGTGACCTCGTGAACCGCAGCACGCCAGGCCTCCCTGTCCATCACTAACTCCCGGAGTCCACCCAAACCCATGTCCATTGAGTTGGTGATGCCATCCAACCGTCTCATCCTGTCGTCCCCTTCTCCTCCTGCCCTCAATCTTTCCCAACATCAGGGTCTTTTCAAATGAGTCAAAAAAAAAAAAATTACGTAAAATGAGTATATGAAGACATACATTCATATTTCACAAAATTAGGCCTGAAAAGATCTACTAAGAATTGATTATGTCTGAGCAATGAGTGAATTGAGTAAAATACAGATTTTCATTTTTTAGTTTATATAAAATTTATTCATTTTAATAAAAAAAAACATAGCTTTGGTAATAAAACTAAGAAGAATAATTTCCCTTTCCAGATAGGCAAGGTAGTAAAAACAACAACAATGACAAAAGACAAGCAAACAAATAAAACCCCAAGATTTTTCTGTGCAACCATGAAAATAACAAATTTATAAATATACATATGGCAATTTTGGAGAAGGAAATGGCAACCCACTCCAGTATTCTTGCCTGGAGAATCCCATGGACAGAGGAGCCTGGCGGGCTCCAGTCCATGGGGTCATGAGAATCAGACACTACTTAGTGACTCAACCAACCAATGGCAATTTTTGGAAACCATAATGCAAATAATGTAAATCATTTATATTTACTGGTTATATATTATTTTTCCCTTAGAAAAGCAAATAACAAAGTACTTTGTTTCCTCTGAAGATTTTCCCATATCTTGCAATAACAATCTTTCCAGTGCAGTTGATGTTCATCTCTCTTTCTAGTTTGAAAAAGTCTTCAGTACGAGCGTAGTTCACATATACAAGCTCCCCCTGTTGGAAATAAAAACAAAAACAAACAACAACAACAAAAATACAAAACACTGCTAAAGAGAAAACCAATGTAGAAGTTTGCTCCAAAATATTGCATCATAATAAAAAGTTATCTTTCTTGTCTTGGGCTTAATAAACAGACCCATGCTAATTCTAGAGAAGTCTTTTAAAATATTCCAATATCCTGAAAGTTAACAACAACAACAAAAAGAGACAATATGTAAGATATTTAAACAGTGTTTAAATGTTTGAAGAAATTACTACTGTACACTGAGCTATGGGAAATAGTATAAATAAAAGTAGCTATGTTATTTCCAACCATGGTATTTATTTCCAACCATAGTATTAAAAACTTCTGTGGTATGATTTATCAATTCAGATCTACAAATCTATAACAAAGTCAGACAATGAACAAAGGAAAAACGTTTGAAAACTATCTACTGCCCTTACTGAATTAAGACATGTTCAGCAGTTTCTTAGTTATTTCAAAGAGTGGCATGTGCTTATCAGGGTCTGGTTCACAAGAATTTTTTTTTTTCTATAAAAATTGTTTTTAGGGAGGTTATGTAGAGGATGGAATCCCAAAGTATGAATTAACATGTATGATCCACCTAATTTCCTTGGTTTTAGTCCTTTACATAGATATTATTATGTAAAGGCTTAAAGAACTGAGTGTCTTTTATTTTACCTCTGGCATACCCGGGGGTGAAAAGGCATTGTAGGGTGGTACAATATTCTTAACATTCTCATATCCATCTGGTGGTGGCTCAACGTATGATGTATTGAAAATCTAGCAAGAATTTAAACACATAAAGTTAGAAACATTTCAGATTGCTATTAAAGAATAATACATTTTGTGTGCAAAAGGCCTAAAAAGATATTTCTTTAAAGAAGACATACAGATGGTGAACAGGCATATGAAAAGATGCTCAACATTGCTAACCATCAGAGGAATGCAAAACAAATGCCAGAAAAGGTGCAAAGAAAAAGGAACCCTCCTACACCGTTAGTGGGAGTGTAAATTGGTACAGCCACTATACAGAACAGTATGGCGGCGCCTTAAAAAACTAAAAATAGAGCTACTGTATGATCTAGTAATTCTACTCATGGGCATATATATAGAAAAGACAAAAACTTTAATTTGAAAAGGTATATGCACCCAAATATTTGAAACAGCACTATTTATAATAGCTGAGACATGGAAACAAGCCACATGCCCACTAACAGACAACTGGTTTAATAAGATTTGGTTTACATATACAATGGAATATTACTCAGCCATAAAAGAGTATTGAAAACTGCCATTTGCAAGCAAGAGGGGTAGACCTAGAGAATATCATACTAAATGAAGTATGTCAGAGACACAAATACATCACTTTTATTTGGAATATAAAAAATAACACGATCCGTCTATATACAAAGAGAAAGGTTTACAGATACAGAAAATAACTTATGATTACTAAAGAAGAAAGGGATGTGCTCTGTTCAGTCGTGTCCAACTCTTTGCAACCCCATGGACTGTAGCTCGCCAAGCTCCTCTGTCCATGGGATTCTCCAGATAAAAACACTCAAGTGGGTTGCCATGCCCTGCTCCAGGGAATCTTCCCAACCCAGGGATCAAAGCCAGGTCTCCCGCGTCGCAAGCAGATTCTTTACCATCTGAGACACCAGGGAAGTACTGGGGGAAGGAATAAAATAGGAGTATAGGATTCACAATTCCCAGGTGGCTCAAGGGGTAAAGAACCCACCTGCCAATGCAAGAGACACAGGCAGGAGACACAGGTTTGATCCCTGGGTTGGGAAGAGCCCCTTGGAATGAAATGGCAACCTACTCCAGTACTCTGGGGCTCCCCAGGTGGTGCTAGTGGTGAAGAACCTCCCTGCCAAGGCAGGAGACATAAGAGACTCGGGTTTGATCCCTGGGTCGGGAAGATCCCCTGAAGAAGGAAATGGCAACCCACTCCAGTACTCTTGCCTGGAGAATCCCATGGCCAGAGTATCCTGCCAGGGTATGATCCATGGGGTCAAAAAGAGTCAGACACAGCTGAACCAACTTAGCACGCACTATAGGATTAACAGATACACTAGCAGATACATTAACAGATATTAACAGATACATTAAGTAGGGAAGCAACAAAGTTTTACTGTGTAACACAGGGAACAATATTCAATAACTTATAATAATCTATAATGGGAAATAATCTGAAAAAAAATTTACATAAAATGCAATCACTTTGTTGTACACTTGAAACTAATACAATATTATAAATCAGTCACCTCAATTCCATGTTCATCCATGACTGATATGTAGCTGGCATCTGTCTCATTAGGGTAAGACAGAAGAACGTCATAGTGCACCAACTCGGCTGAATCCAGTCCAAATTTCTTCCACTGGCTTTGGATTTTCTTGGCAAGCAATAAATTTTGTTCTGTTCCTGCCAGATGAGGTAGCTTTGTAAACGAACTGAAATGAAAATAAAATTAAAGTGGGATTCAAAGACTATATTCAGAAAATGTCCTGGGAACTCTTCTAGATGCATAACTCATATTTTACACTTAAGTATCATTTCTATAATCAAGATATAAAAAACACAGCTAGGGATTTCTAGATATGCCAGTTTTTAAATATTTGTGTGTCACTGCAGTTTTCACACTGTGCTTGCAGGAAACATGCTATGCACAGGCCTCTACTATAATTTACTGGGCTTTGAAAAATAAGAATGACTTTCTCATCACCCCAGGTGAAGGGCTGGGAGCAGTAAAAAGTACATCATGGAAAGACATCTTGCAAACAAGATGTTGAAGTACTGATGTGACTAATGGAAAACCAGTAGTGACCAGAGCCTTGAAGGGGTTTCTGAGAAAGGGTGTCACTAGCCGAAGGGCTAAACAGAAGCATGAAAGGCCTGAAGGTTTGACATCTGAGATTGTAAAGAACAGATATCTCTAGAGCACAAACAAGGAAGGAGAAGTTAATAATAAAAGGCATGCAAGGATTAGGATCTGGGCTTTTGCCTGTGAATGGCATCAGTCCCCTGGTCCCCCACTTCATTTCTGAGTCTTCTTTTTCCTTTATCTTCTAAGGTTCCGCTCCCTCGGGTTGGGTTCACTTTTGGGCTGGTCCTGACAATGCTCCTCAGAAAAGAACACATTCCGTGTTGAACAGTCAGCAGGGACTCGGGGACAAGAAAACACGATGGAAGAATGGCACATCCCTACGCCATGGGTGCTAACTTCTTGCTGCTTATCAGGAAGTGAAGATATTCTCAAACAAAGATCATCATGTTTGCCAGACAGTCGGGCAGCTGTGCCAGCATGCACTTGTGGCACTGTTTTCACCCTACTGTATACAGTTGTTTATTTATCCCATTGAAGTTCAAGTCCATGCAGCTTTATGTTTGTATTTCCAAAGGCTCAGTACTTGCCTGTTATCCAGGAATCACATAATTCAGATTTACTGAACTGAGTTTGGGCAATGATCTCTTTGTTCTGAGTCTAAATGATTTGTAACAGTTAAGTAACTTCACAAACAGTTTCAAATGAAATTCGCTTTGCTTGAGGTAAATATTTTAAAAGGTTCCCAAACCCCCTCCTTCTGTAAGTAGGGCAATTATACTTCTACACACTGGTGTTTTAGTCAATCATAGAACAAGCAAAAAAGACGGAGAGTAAAGCAAAATCAGTACTTACTGAAAACTTACTATATGCCAGTAACCTGATGAGGTATTTCACATGGGCTTTCTGATTTAATCCTGATCACCCTTCTTCCATTGTCCCCATTTTGCAAATGAGGAAATGGAGAACAGTTAAATAAGTTGCTTATAATTTAGTAGGGCTTCCCTCGTAGCTCAGTCGGTAAAGAATCTGCCTGCAATGCAGGAGACCTGAGTTTGATTCCTGGGTCGGAAAGATCCATGGAGGAATTAAATCATTCATCTGATCATACTGATCAACTGCTTAAAATCCTTCTATGGCTCCTTATATTCTGCATTATAAAGTTCACATTGGACATAGCATTTGGACCCTTTTTTTATCTGATCCACTTTCCAGCTTCATTTCTCACCACTCACCTTATAAACTTCTTCACTCTTATCATTTAATATGCTAATTGGTCTCCTAAAATCATCACCCTTTTTAGCCTTTGCACAAGATCTTCTCTTAGACAAAAGTATCATTCTACTTACATAAATATCGCTGTACACCACTCCTAGTCATTTACCTTCCCCCCCTGTAAGCTATTAACCATTCATTATTCGATCATGTTCTTTTCTGTGAAGATTTCCACGTCTATTATCATTTAATTAAAGCTGCAAGTTACTGATATTTAATACCATACAATATTTGTGGGGGGAATAAAGTATCAGGACTTCCTTTATGGTCCAGTGATTAAGAATCCACCTTCCCACACATGCACTTTGACTTAAAGCATTCCTGATAGGAAGCCTCAAAGGGCCAAGCCAGTTGCTGACAATCCAAAACAAAGGTCTTGAATAGAGAGACCCATGAAGGGAAAGCCAAGAAAAAAAAAAGAATCCGCCTTGCAATGCAGGGAATGCCGGTTTGATCCCTGGTCAGGGAACTAAGAGCCCGTGTTTCACAGGGCAACTAAGCCCACACGCCACAACTAGAGAAGCCTCTGTACAGCAAAAAGAGCCTGTGGGCTGTAACTGAGACCCGATGCAATCAAGCAAAATAATTTTTTTTAAAAAGTATTAATGTGTTCGCAGACAGAAGCTTTTGCATGCACAAGAAAACCACTGGGGCTGGGGATATTTAAAATTCTACTACATATAATTCATTATTGTTTTATTTCCTTCAGTGAATAAATAATATTATTACAGCTGGGGACGGGGGTAAGGTAAGTATATTCCCTTCATTTAAGGTGAAGGATTAATCATTAAGGTTTGCCTCTCACCTTTTCAGCAACCCACTGAAATGAAAGAAGTGCAAAAAAAAAAGCAGCAGGGAACAACTTTACTGAATTTCTTCTTATGGTCCCAAGACGGGCACTGCAGCTCCACACATCATATATTCATGCTACAATGTTCAGGAGAAGTTATTTCCTCTTTTGTGTTCCTTTCAACAGAGGAAAACTTTGTAGTGGATCTCAACTAAATTTTTCTCCTATTTTATCAGACATAATACGGTCATGTGCATGTGTGTATGTGCTTGCTCAGTCGTGTCCTACTCTTTGCGAGCCAGTGGGCTGCAGCCCACCAGGTTCCTCTGACCATGGAGTTTTCCAGGCAAGAATACTGGAGTGGGTTGCCATTTCCTCCTCCAGAGGATCTTCCTGACCCAGAGGTTGAACCGCTTCTCTTGTGTCTCCTGCATTGGCAGGTGGATCTACTCAGGAAACTGTAGTACATCCCTAGGGCTTTCCTGTCTGCTCAGATAGTAAAGAATCCACCCGCAATGCAGGATACCTGGGTTCGATCCCTGGATTGGGAAGTTCCCCAGGGGAAGGAAATGGCAACCCACTCCAGTATTCTTGCTTGGCGAATTTAATGGACAAAGGAGCCTGGCAGGGACTGAACCACAGTCCATGAGGTCACAAAGAGTTGGACACGACTGAGCAACTAACACACACAGTACATCCCTACAATGAATGAAGAGATTAAAAGACTCTTTCTAATTTGCTCACAAATTCAATGCAATTTTAATCAAAGTTTCAGCAGGCATTTTTTTTCTTTGGTAGGAATTAAGAAGTTGATTTCAAAATTTATTTGGAAATGCAAATAAAATAGTCAAAGCAATTTTTAAAAAGCAAAATATGTAGGATCAACCCTATCTCATTTTCAACTTACTATTAAGCTATACCAAACAAGACAACATGGTACTGAGATTAATAGATCAACAGAAGAAAATATTTTGCTGACAAAGGTCCATATAAGTCCAAGCTGTGGTTTTTGCAGTCATGTGAGAGTTGGACCATAAAGAAGGCTGAGCAGTGAAGATTGATGCTTTCGGACTGTGGTGCTGGAGAAGACTCTCAAGAGCCCCTTGGACAGCAAGACCAAAACAAAATCCTAAAGGAAATCAACCCTGAATATCCACTGGAAGGACTGATGCTGAAGCTGAAGCTCCAATATTCTGGTCACCTAATGCAAAGAGCCAATTCATTGGAAAAGACCCTGATGCTGGAAAAGATTGAAGGCAGGAGGAGAAGTCAGTGACAGAGGATAAGATGGTTGGATGGCATCATTGACTCAATGGACACAAATCCGAGCAAACTCCAGGAGATAGTGAAGGACAGGGAAGCGTGGTGGGCTGCAGTACATGGGGTTGCAAAGAGTTGCACATGACTGAGCGACACAACGACAGAAGAAAATATAATATCCAAAAACAGGCCATTATGTTCAAGTGATTCTAGTCAAAGATATCAAAGCTATTCAAATGGGAAAGGGAAGTTTTTTAAACAAATCTTATAGAAATAATTACATATTTGTATTTAGAAAACCATCAACTCATATCATACTGCACATAAAAATTACCTTGAAGTGGACCACTGACCTAAATGTGCAAGCTACAATCATAAAACTTCAAAAATAATTTTCACAACTTCTCATAGGCTAAATTAGATAGAACACAAAAGTATGAACTATAAGACAAAGATTGTTCAACTGGACTTTATCAAAATTTAAAATCCCTGACCGATATAAACTCCACTGAGAAAATAAAAAAGGCCAACCATAGAACAGAAGAAAATACTCACATGTCTGACAAAAGAATGTATAAAGAACTTTTACACTCAATAACAAAACAAAATAATTTTTAAATGAAAAAAAAAAACAACATTGAACAGGGACCATATAAAAGATATGCAGATGTCCAATAAGCACACAAGAAGATGCTTAATATCACCAACCATCAAGAAAATATAAATTAAAACCACAATGAGATACTGCTACATGTGTGCGTGCCAAGTTGCTTCAGTCATGTCCGACTCTTTGCAACCCCATGGACTGTAGCCTGCCAGGCTCCTTTGTCCATGGGATTTTCCAGGCAAGAATTCTGGAGTGGGCTGCTATGCCCTCCTGCAGGGATCTTCCAGATCCAGAGATAGAACCTATATCTCTCATGTCTCACGCACTTTCAGGCGAGTTCTTTACTAGTGCCATCTGAGAAGCCCGACACTAATACACACCTACTAAAATGGTTAAAATGAAACAACCAATATTACTAAGGTAAGAATATAAAATGGTATACCACTTTTGAAATCTGTCATTTTCTTAAAAAGTTAAACATATGCTTATCACCCAACACAGCCATTCCAAGAGAAATGAAAACATACGTAAACACATGTTCATTCCAACTTTGCTCACCATGATCAAAAACCAGAAACAACCCAATACCCATCAACTACATATTGGGGGTCTATCTATAAAATCTATTCATTGGAAGGGCTGATGCTGACACTCCAATACTTTGGTCACCTGATGCAAAGAATTAACTAACTGGAAAAGACCCTGATGCTGGGAAAGATTGAAGGCAGGAGGAGAAGGGGACGACAGAGGATGAGATGGTTGAATGGCATTTCCAACTCGACAGACATGAGTTTGAGCAAGCTCCAGGAATTGGAAATGGACAGGGAGGCCTGGCGTGCTGCAGTCCATGGGATGGAAAGAGTCGGACAAGACTGAGCGACTGAACTGAACTGATCCATACAACAGAATAATACTCAGCAATAAAAAGCAAGGTACTCCACAGATATAATCAACAACCTGGCTGAATTCCAAAATCATTCATGATGCTGAGTGAAAGACACAAAAAAGCACATACTGTATGATTCTATTTATATAAAATATTAGAAGATAAAAAGGAATCCATAGTAAGAGAGTGAAGGAGGAATAACCGCAAAGCCTTGATATAATTTTTCTGTCTCTTGATTGAGGAGGTTGGCTGAGTGTATTATGCATATGTCATTACTCTCAAATTGTAAAATTTATATGGATGCAGTATATTTTATGAAAATTCAGTTCAGTTCCTTTCAGTCGCTCAGTCGTGTCTGACTCTTTATGACCCCATGGACCACAGCACTCCAGGCCTCTCTGTCCATCACCAATTCCCAGAGTTTAGCCAACCTCATGTCCACTGAGTGGGTGACGCCATCCAACCATCTCATCCTCTGTCATCCCCTTCTCCTGCCCTCAATCTTTCCCAGCATCAGGGTCTTTTGAAATGAGTCAGCTCTTTGCATCAGGTGGCCAAAGTATTGGAGTTTCAGCTTCAACATCAGTCCATTCAATGAACACTCAGGACTGATCTTCTTTAGGATGGACTGGTTGGATCTCCTTGTAGTCCAAGGGACTCTCAAGAGTCCTCTCCAACACCACAGTTCAAAGGCATCAATTCTTTGGTGCTCAGCTTTCTTTATAGTCCAACTCTCACATCCATACATGACTACTGGAAAAACCATAGCCTTGACTAGATGGACCTTTGTTGGCCAAGTAATGTCTCTGCTTTTTAATACGCTGTCTAGGTTGGTCATAACTTTTCTTCCAAGGAGTAAGCGTCTTTTAATTTCATGGCTGCAATCACCACCTGCAGATATTTTGGAGCCCCCCCAAAATAAAGTCAGCCACTGTTTCCCCATCGATTTGCCTTGAAGAGATGGGACCGGATGCCATGATCTGAGTTTTTTGAATGTTGAGCTTTAAGCCAACTTTTTCACTCTCCTCTTTCATCAAGAGGCTCTGTAGTTCTTCTTCACTTTCTGCCATAAGAGTGATGTTATCTGCATATCTGAGGTTATTGATATTTCTCCAGGCAATCTTGATTCCAGCTTGTGCTTCCTCCAGCCCAGCATTTCTCATGATGTGCTCTGCATATAAGTTAAATAAGCAGGGTGACAGCACTGGCCTGAGGTCAGGACACCCGTCTGGTTTGAGTTCCAGTTCTGGCCCTGCTGGCTGGGGGCCTCCCCAGAATTTCTCCAGGTTATCAAAGGACTATGTGCTTTCGCCAGTTTGATGCTGCACAGATTCTTTTTTTATATATTAGTTATTTATTTATTTTTGATTGCTCTGGATCTTCGTTGCTGCGCGTGGGCTTTCTCTTGTTGCAAAGCACAGTCTCTAGGCTCACCGGCTTCAGATACACATCAAGAGGGGTAGGTCTTTGGAGCACCTTTAATTTTCCAGGATGTTTAACTTCAGCCTAACACATGGTGCAGGCGCCACCTAGTGGTGAAAAGGGCTGTGGCAGTTGGAGAGATGGCTCAGCTATTAGTATTTCCCCAGGTGTAGGAGGCAAAGGTGAGGCTGTATGCAGGTGACCCCAACAGGATGACAAGTCTCTGAATATAGCTATAAGAGGCATGGGGAGAAATATGCCCCTTGGTTCTGCCAGTATACACTGTGTGAGATTGGCCCAGTACCTTTCCCTCTCTGGGTCTCAGCTTCCTCATCTGCAACCTGAGGGAGTTGAATGAATGTGGGGACTATGGATCTGTGGTGGGGGATTCTGTGAAGTCCCTGAAATTTAAAGAAAAATTTGTATGTATGTGTGAAAGAAAAAAAAAAAGCAGGGTGACAATATACAGCCTTGACACACTCCTTTTCCTATTTGGAACCAGTTTGTTGTTTCATGTCCAGTTCTAACTGTTGCTTCCTAACCTGAATACAGGTTTCTCAAGAGGCAGGTCAGGTGGTCTGGTATTCCAATCTCTTGAAGAATTTTCCAGTTTATTGTGATCCACACAAAGGCTTTGGCATAGTCAATAAAGCAAAAATAGATGTTTTTCTGGAACTCCCTTGCTTTTTTGATGATTCAGCAGATATTGGCAATTTGATGTCTGGTTCCTCTGCCTTTTCTAAAGCTAGCTTGAACATCTGGAAGTTCACGGCTCACGTATTGCTGAAGCCTGGCTTGGAGAATTTTGAGCATTACTTTACTAGTGTGTGAGATGAGTACAATTGTGAGGTAATTTGAGCATTCTTTGGCAATGCTTTTCTTTGGGATTGGGATGAAAACTGACCTTTTCCAGTCCTGTGGCCACTGCTAAGTTTTCCAAATTTGCTGGCATATTGAGTTCAGCACTTTCAGAGCATTATCTTTTAGTAGTTGAAATAGCTCAACTGGAATTCCATCACCTCCACTAGCTTTGTTCGTAGTGATGCTTCCTAAGGCCCCCCTGACTTCACATTCCAGGATGTCTGGCTCTAGGTGAGTGATTACACCATCGTGATTATCTGGGTCGTGAAGATCTTTATTGTATAGTTCTTCTATGTATTCTTGCCATTTCTTCTTAATATCTTCTGCTTCTGTTAGGTTCATACCATTTCTGTCCTTTATTGAGCCCATCTTTGCACGAAATGTTCCCTTGGTATCTCTAATTTTTTTATACCTCAATAAAACTGTTTTTTTGTTTGTTTGCTTGTTTTTAGTGAAATAAATGTCACAATAGCTGCCTTCAAGAACTTCATAATCACTCTCCAGAATGTCATTCTTTCTCTTGCTAAGACACTGGGGGGTCTGCACTGATCCTTTTGCTTTCATTCTGTCCTCTTTATGTTCCTTAAGTTTGTAGATGGGACAAAGGTTTAATTTGTGGTAAACAGAATCTGAAACTTTAATCTCTTTCTCTCGAAATCAAAGTTTACCACCATCTGAGTCTTCCTGATAGAATGTGACATTTAAATAAATTCCCTGATTAAACCCAGGCCTGGGGAACAGAGAGTAACCTTCAGCTGCCGTCCAAAGTACATGAAGTTGGAACATCTCTTAATAAAAAAACCAAAGACTTTTTCTGCACATGAAGTTAGGGAAGAAAGACTTCTGCAACACTCAAATAGATTTTACTCTTAAGAGTTGTATAAACAGACATTTAAACTATCAGGAATTAATATGATATTACATCATTTCACACAAAGAAGGTTACCCACACGAATATAATCAGTCTTCAAACAGTTCTCACTGCATTGTTTCAAAATTCTTATTTTTAAGATCAATTATTCAAAACAAACTTACCGAAGAAATGATTTTATATTATCAGCTTTCATCTCAGATATCAGTTTCCACCTTAGATTCTGGTGACTGTCTGCTGAAGTGCCCGGATCTTTGAGGGGCTTACTAAGCCAACCTGTGGCGGGGGGAGGGGGGAGCATACACAATAAGTGCTTTTGACTTTTATAAAAACTAAAAGTCCCCCCACCCAACACAAAGAGCCCTCAGCCGAGAAACAGATCACGGGGAGCATTACAAAAAAAATCAAACTTAAACGCAGAAAAACTTCAAATTCCGCTTTGTAATTCTGAGTTGGTTAAAGGAGCTTTAGATGAGAGAGAATCTTGTCATTTCCCCGCGTTATGTATTAGAGCAGGGGCCTCTGTTTCTTGTTCGCCCACCGAGGTCTGCTTCACAGCGCAGCGGCTGACACACGGGGAGGATTTCCCAGAGATTTTTGCAATAAATGATCACAGAAGGGCAGTTGTAAGTTTCGACTCTTGGAAACGAAATAAACTCCTTGACCCCTGCGAATAATGGCAGCTCTAAAGTTTCTTTACAGCGGCTCTTAACAGTACCCTGACTGAGTGAAAGGCGCTCAGTCGTGTCCGACTCTTTGCGGCCCCGTAGGCTGTATAGGCCATGGCATTCTCCAGGCCAGAATCCTGGAGTGGGTAGCCATTCCCTTCTCCAAGGGATCTTCCCAACCCAGGGATCGAACTAAGGTCTCCGTCATTGCAAGTGGATTCCTTACCGCCTGAGACAACAGGGAAGCCCAAGAATGCTGGAGTGGGTAGCCTATCCCTTCTCCAGCGGATCTTCCCGACCCAGGAATCGAATGGGGTCTCCTGCATTGCAGGCGGATTCTTTACCAGCTGAGCTACCAGGGAAGCCCCGAGCTCGGCATGTGAAAGACTTGAATTGCAGCCACCCTTTACTAGAAAGGCCGGAATGCACCGCATTCGGCTTGCAGTCGGGCTGGGACGCGGCGCCGCGGCCGTCCCGGCGGCTGTCGGGCTTCTCTCCACGCAGGCCGCAGGGTGGAGGGGCGCCTGGCGCCCGGGACAGGGGTCGGCACACTTACCCACCGTAAATCCAGCCAGGAAGGACGCCAGCGCTGCGGCCAGGCATATCCACAGGTACGGCCCGCGCGCGTCTCGGGCCATGGCTTCCTCAGGCAGCAGCGGGAGGTGCCGGCCGCGGGGGCGCGCCGCGGGGGCGCGGGCGAGCCGGGGGCGCGCGACCGGGCGCGCGCGGGCCCACCAGGCGGCCGCCCAGCACGGTCCCCGCGGCCCGTCCTCAGTGGCCCGCCGGCCTCCGCGCGCCTCCGAAGGTGGAGGGACGCCGGCCCCGAGCTCGCGGTTCCTGCGGTCGCCCGGGGGCCTCGACGGGGCAGAGGCGACCCTGCGGGGGGTGGAGACATCCTTCTTGGTGGCAGGCTCCGTCCACTCTGTCCACCCCGGGCAAAGTCTGCGTTCGCGGGGAGGCCGCTTAAAAATGCCCCCTAAGAAACTCTACTGACCAACCTCTTTCCAGGAACTGCAGGATTTCCTAATTTCGGCAGTCAAATATATTAACCACAGCTCTGACTTCTCTGTTGATCACCCCCTGCCAAAATCTAATTTCTAACTGCCCACGCTTGGGAAACATCTCTGGTTCTGCCTGCTCCGTGATAGCGCATCAATTTTTTTTTTAATGCTTATATTTTATGTTTATTCATTCAAATATGTATATAGGCACCACTGTACTAACATGTATATGGTGACACATTCAGAAAAATAAACCTTTTTTTAATTTTAATTTAAAGGATGAGATAAATTTAAACACAGATAAAAGTCCTACTACTATTTTCCTTATAGGCTAATTGACTATGATGTGCTTTGTTTGGGATTCGTATTTTCCATTTTGATGACATCTATCTGTTATCTTCCTGATGGCTCAGTGGGTAAAAAATTTGCCTACAATGTTGGAAACACAGGATACATAAGTTCAGTCCCTGGAGAAGGGAATGGCAACCCACTCCAGTATACTTGCCTGAAAAATGCCATGGACGGAGGAACCTGGCAGGCTACAGTCCAAAGAGTCACAAGGAGTCGGACACAGCTAGGCACACTCACTCCTATAAGCTTTCATGCAGAACACCTTTTGGGGCTTCCCTTGTGGTTCAACTGGTAAAGAATCCACCTGTAACGTGGGAGGCCTAGGTTTGATCCCTGGGTTGGGAAGATCCCCTGGAGCCGGAAAAGGCTACCCACTCCAGTATTCTGGCCTGGAGAATTCCATGGACTACAGTCCATGGGGTCTCAAAGAGTCGGACATGACTGAGTGACTTTCACTTTGACTTTCATCTATATTGAGGCCTTGGTTGATATTCACATTCTGCACAAACTAGCAATTTTCAAGTAAATTTAACACATCAGTTTCTTAACCACATACAACATGGAAACTGGTGGGATTTTCTCTTCTTTTCCTTTACCAGAACAAGTCTCCAAATATTTGTAACTGTCAGTTTCTTCTTCTGCAACTGGGGGTTTCCCCCCTCTCACTAGAATGTTGCTGTTTAGTTGATAAATCCTGTCCAGCTCTTTCCCGACCCCATGGGCTGTAGCCTGCCAGGCTCCTCCATCCAAGGGATTTCCCAGGCAAGAATACCAGAGTGGTGTTCAGTGCCATGAATGTTATAGGTTCAAATTAATAAGATTCACCACTGAAAGTGCCTTGTACCCTAACTGATGGTAGTTTCTTGTCATCCTCCCTAACCTCTCCCTCCAGTCCTGTTTTCCCTAGAGTATCTCTTTAAAAGTGATACCAAGGTTTGCAAAGCAGCCATCCTTGTAATCAGGATGCCTGAATCCACCGTTTTTTATTGTGGAGGCAATCTTTAGCAATTCAGGACTGGATGCCTCCTATTCAAAGCAGTTTTGCTGCCAGAGCAAAGGTGCCCACTGAATAGAACATACAGTATATCTCCTGTTATCAAATAGAGCAGGATGCTGTGGGGCTTCGGGGTACAAATCCTTTCTGTGGCCCCCATTTCTTATTTGTAGGAAGTCGGCTTCATTCAGCCTCCATGACCTTCCCTGAGTTCCGAAGGGCAGGTTCAAACAGTTGGCTCCAATACTTTGGCCATCTGATGCGAAGAGCAGACTCATTGGAAAAGACCCTGATGCTGGGAAAGATTGAGGGGAGGAGCAGAAGGGGACGACAGAGGATGAGATGGTTGGATGGCATCACCGACGTGATGGACATGAGTTTGAGCAGGCTCCGGGAGATGCTGGAGGACAGGGAGGCCTGGCGTGCTGCAGTCCAGGGGGTCGCAAAGAGTCTGAAACTCAAGGACTGAACACTAGCAACCTAAGGAAGGGAGGGAATACAGAAACAAGGGAGGGCAGTCTAGAAACAGCAGTGCCGCCTTGGGGCAGGTTCCTGGCTCCTCCCGAAGGAATATACATAACAACACCTTTACATTCTTCTGAGACCTGAAGGCCCCCACCCAGGCGAAGGATGGCTACTTCTGGCCGAGGGCCAGATTTCTGCGGCCCATCCTGTTACCTCACCACCAACCGATCAGCACAAAGCCACACACCTGCAGCCCCGACCCCAAGTGTTACCCATACAAACTTCCCCAGATAAATGGGGAATTTGGTGCTTTTGAGCATGAGCTGCCTGTTCTCCTTGCTTTTGTTGCTGTTGAGTCACTTAGTTGTGTATGTGCGACTGTATGGACTGCAGCTTGCCAATCTTCCCTGTCCAAATCTTTGCAACTCTATGGACTGCAGCATACCAGTCTTCCCTGTCCAAATCTTCTCAAGTAGAAACTCTCAGGACTCGATATTGAGTTTATAATTTGCTCCAATCATTCCCTAACAGTGCAGTCGTTAAAGAATCTACCTGCAATGCAGGAGACCCGTATTCGATTCCTGGGTTGGGAAGATCCCCTGGAGAAGAAAATGGCAACCCACTCCAGTATTTTTGCCTGGAGAATCCCATGGACCGAGGAGCCTGGCAGGCTACAGTCCATGGGGTTTGAGAGTCGAACATGACTGACTGAGTAAACCACCTCCCACCAATCACTAAACCTTGTTTTACTTTTGTCTCCATAGAGATGCATCTTATTAAATACTTGATTGCCTGTGTCCTATAGACCTAACCTTAAAAGCCTGCTTCCATCAGTGCTTCCTGAAATGAGTAACTGACATGACTTTATTGTCAGAACTAAGAAACTGACTTGTTGAGATAAAGCAATCTACCGACTTCTGGACTATGAAATGTCTTTAAAAAAATTTTGAAGGTAGGACTGTAGGAGAGCAAAATTTGCCACCTTTGGCCAGTACACTATTTCTAGCTGAAAATCAAGGCCCCAGAGGCTCAGGAATAAGCTTTGCTCTTCCCCCTAACTGTCTAAAAGATTGTAAGAGGAGCTGACCCAGGAATGCAGCCATCACCATAGATAACCATAGGATGAAGTCATTGGTATGGTAGACAGAGAGGGAGAGGCTGTTAAAATTCCTCTCTGTATCCCATTGTCTCTGCCCTACATTTTTTTTTACTAATCTTTTGCTTTCTATCTCTATGTGAGTTGCCTTCCCCCCTCCCTAACTTTGAGGTCCCCAAACCACTGCCCCCAATGGCTTTAGCTAAGGATGTTATTTAAGGTGAGGGTTTTGACCATTTGGGGGAGTTACTCAATTCCTCTGGGTCACTCTTATCTATGCATGTGAGCTAGGTTGCTTAGGTGTGTCTGACCCTTCGCAACCCCGTGGACTGTAGACCACCAGGATCCTCTGTCCTTGGGATTCTCCAGGAAGAACACTGGAGTGAGTTGCCATTTCCTCTTCCAGGGGGGGATCTTTGCAACCCAGGGATCGAACATGTCATGTGTCTCCTGCATCTCCTGCATTGGCAGGCAGATTCTTTACCACTGAGCCTCCTGGGAAGCCCTCTCCCATATATATATGTGTTATTAAATTTTGTTTGGTTTTCTCATGTTTAAGGAAAAAAATTACTAGGTTATTTGTGAAAATTGTTTTTTCCTACTCATATCTCAATTTTTATAGATAATTAAATGTTGACTAATAGAAGAGATCAGTGTGTTAATTAACAGTTTCCCAATTTAATTAATCTTCCCAAATTAAAATTAGATTATTCACTCATTCGATGAGGCTACAGCATTCCAGATATTGTGAAAAATTCTGAATATATGGTGGTCCTTGCCTTTAGAAAGCCTACAACAATGAGAAGGCAAATATTGAATACATAAAAACATAAACAGTTCTAAGCAGGAGCAGCGTTACCTTAAATATGAAGGTTGTCTATGCCTTAAATGGTGGCATCTGCATTCTTTATCTTGGCAATTCATTGTATAAAGTCCAGTTAGCTAGTTCAGCAGGGCTTTGGCCTTTTCTAAAATATAGATAGAGATTCATTATTCCATCTTCTTAATTAAGCGTATAATAGGATGCTGCTATCACCATTTCTGATTATTAGCATCTTAGATGATATTTGCATCTTACAAAGCACACTTAACAGAGCAACATTGTTGATGTATACTAACCCCTTTTGATCTTTCCTTCAGCTAAAAAATGGAGAAAAAAATGTATAGGAAAGTTTAAGTATTGAAAAATCAATCTCTCAGTAAAACTATTATCACATTTGTTCTGCTCAGTATTCAGGGACTCTAACAAGGCAAAACTCAGTATCTTTTTCATTCCTAAAGTTTAATTACTCCTATGTGCTCAGTCATGTCCAGCTCTTTGTAACCCCATGGACTGTGGCCAGCCAGACTCCTCTGTCCGTGAGATTTCCCAGGCAAGAATACTGGAGTGGGTTGCAATTTCCTTCTTAAGGGCATCTTCTCAACCCAGGGATTGAACCTGTGTCTCCTGCCTGTGTCTCTTACTTTGGCAGGTGGATTCTTTACCACTTGAGCCACCTGGAAATTGTTCCTATATAATCTTTTTCCCCCTCTTCTACCATCCTAGAAGAGGTAATCTTGTAACTTCAAAGTCCAAATCCCATCAAATGGGTCACAGCAAGGTTTGAAAAAGTGTGACCTGTGTACTAATAAAGCACTATATGTAAATGTCTTAAGAAACATGCCAATAATTAGGATTCTATAGAAAAGAAATAATGTTTAGCATCTAATTATATGTTTCATCTGAAGATG